TGGTGCACGAAGAACTGCGCCACTTAAGAGGCCGTGCCGCGGGGTAACGCTTTTGTTTCAGCATAACGCGTAAGATAATCTGTCGCAACTATAATCCATTTGTTCCCAGAGGACGACAAAGGGAAGGGCCCGAGAAGGTCCATTCCCACGAGGTCAAACGGTGTCCGTGGTGGTGCGATCGGCTGGAGCAGGCCTGCGGGTCTCACAGGCGGAGTCTTGCGGCACTGGCACTCACGGCAGCCTTTCACATATCGATGTACACTAGTTGATAGTCGCGGCCAGTAATACTGTTGGCGTACTCTGGCGAGAGTTCGCGAATAGCCCAAATGTCCTGACGTGGGCTCGTCGTGGCACGCAAGGAGGATCTCATCACGCATGTCCGTAGGAACAACGAGTAGGAAGGCTTTGTAGCTACCACGGGCGTTTTTCTTGTAAAGAATGCTTCTTCTTAGACAAAAAGAGGACAGTTCGCGAGCAATGTGTTGAGGGACCTGAGAGTTGCGGCCTTCCAGGGAATCAATGACTGGGCGTAATTCGTCGTCTGCCCGCTGCTTTGACATAAATTCGGAGTTGCTAACTGCTCCGAGAAAGGCATCTTCATCTTCGGAGCCCCTGACAGCGTTCCCCACAGGTGCTCGAGAAAGCGCGTCGGCGTCTTCGTGTTTGCGCCCTGACCTGTACACAATCGTAATATCGAACTCCTGCAAACGCAAACTCCACCGTGCGAGACGGCCGGATGAATCTCTGATAGTTGCCAGCCAGCAGAGCGAGTGGTGGTCAGTCACCACTTTGAAGGGACGACCGTAGAGGTAAGGCCGAAATTTGGTCGTCGCCCACACGACTGCGAGGCATTCTTTCTCTAACGTAGAATAGTTGGTCTCGGCTCGAGAAAGAGTACGACTGGCGTAAGCTATCTCATGCTCAACGCCGCCGTGTCGTTGTACAAGGACAGCGCCAAGTCCGACGTTGCTGGCATCTGTATGAATTTCTGTAGCAGCATCCTCATCAAAATGGGCAAGAACAGGGGCTGTTTGCATTCTCTGTCGTAACTCTGTGAAGGCTGTATCTTGTTCTGCGCCCCAAGTAAAGGGCACGTCATCTCTGGTGAGTCGCGTAAGAGGTTCAGCTATCTTCGAGAAGTTGGCAATAAATCGGCGATAGTATGCGCACAAGCCGAGGAAACGGCGTACTGCTCTTTTATCTGATGAAACAGGGAAGGCGGCAACAGCAGCAGTTTTGTCTGGATCAGGTCGTACTCCATCCGCACTAATGACATGTCCCAGAAGTTTCAGCTCTTCATAGCCGAAATGGCATTTTTAGGGTTTCAGCGTGAGTTCAGCTGTGCGAATGGCTTCCAGAACCTTTCTCAGACGCTTCAGATGTTCTTCGAAGCTCTCGGAAAAGATGACCACATCATCGAGGTAGACAAGGCAGCTTTGGCACTTCAAGCCAGTGAGAACTGTGTCCATCATCCTCTGAAAAGTGGCTGGTGCAGAACAGAGGCCGAAGGGAAGAACTCGGAATTCGTAAAGTCCGTCTGGAGTCACAAACGCGGTTTTTTCTCGGTTTCATTCATCCACTTCAATTTGCAAATAGCCACTCTTTAGATCGATGGACGAAAAATACTTCACGCGTCGTAACCTGTCGAGGGAGTCGTCGACCCGTGGAAGCGGGTAGACGTCCTTTTTTGTGACGCTATTAAGCTTCCTGTAGTCAATACAGAATCGCAGTGTTCCATCTTTTTTCTTTACTAGAACGACTGGCGAGGACCAAGCGCTGCTGAATGGTTGAATAATCCCGTCATCGAGCATCTCTTTACTTGTGTCTGAATAGCCTCGCGTTCTTTGGCAGAAACGCGATAAGGCTGCTGCCGGATGGAGCGGACGTCATCGTCGGTAATAATTCGATGCTTCGTGAAGTGTGTTTGACGGACTTTAGAAGAAGAGGCGAAGCAAGATCGAAACTCCCTTAAAAGGTCATGAAGTGCAGCCTTTCTCTCGTCTGACAGCGTCAAATTATTGTCGATGCGGTCTAGAAATTCCTCATCCTCATGCGGCGTTTCCTCGGACGCGAAGCACTCCGTGAAGTTGGCAACAGGGTCTCCATAAGCTAGGGTGGTTCCGCAGAAAAGATGCCGGAGCTCGTAATTGAAGTTCGTAACTAGTATCCTTGACTGTCCGTCACATACGCGCACAACAATTCGGGCGGCGCGTACACCTTGGAGCAGCAGAAGTGATAGGTTGCTTTCAGCCACCACGTCGGCGTCTTGGAAGTCTTCACAAGTGACTTCGATGGGAACAGTTGCTCGAGGTGGCAGCGTCACACTGTCGTCAGCAATGCGCAGCGCAGGTCTACGGCAGTTATCAGCGTCTCGATCTGTTGCGCCTTGAGTCGAGAAGGTCACGATGCGCTCACGGAGATTTATGATGGCACCATATTCCCGAAGGAAGTCCATGCCGATAATCAGCTGACGCAAACCGTCGCAAAGAACGAGGCAGCTGAGCACAAACGTTGACGCACGAATTTTCACTCTTGCGGTACAGCGACCCAGCGGTGTTACAACGTGTCCTCCAGCTGTTCGAATTCGCGTTCCATTCCACGGCGTGATCACTTTCCTGAGATCTTTCGCTAGCCTCCCACTGATGATCAAATAGCCTGCACTAGTGTCTACCAATGCACTGACCTGAAGACCATCAACCAGCACAGGTATGTCGAGTGACATGCGGTCACTAGGTTCAGATGTGGATGTCGGCGTTTCTTCAATACTGCGATTATACTCTGACGAAATGCCTTCAGCGTTGCGTGCAAGTGTCGATGGGAGGTCTTCCGCACTTTGAGTCCCAGCGACCTTGCCCCCGAAGGCCGGTGCCTTCAGTTTTCCCGACGAGGGCTCGGGGAGCGCTCCCGTGCCGTCACCCCGAAACCTGGCCCAGTGGCTGCGGGTCTCCTCGAAGATGGTGACCGCGATTGCCGTCGTGTAAAGGGTGCACGCTGTTGCGCAAGATACTCTTCGATATCCCTTGGCCTTTGACCGATTCGGGGACGAGGGGAATTGACGGAAAACCCGCGCAGTCCAAGTTGCCGGTGTGGGCATTTGCGGTAAATGTGACCAGCCTGACCACAATGATAGCAGAGGGGTCGTCTGTCTGGCGTACGCCAGAGATCAGACTTGCGCGTCGGTGCACGGCGACTGTCGATGTCCAAATCAGCGTGCGCTGACTGAATCGCGACTGACGGCATCATTGTCTGGATCGGGACGTATGGCATTGTCTGGATCGGGACGTGCGGCACTGGCTGGATCGGGACGTGCGGCACTGGCTGGGTCGGGACTCTTTGACGAGAAAGAGGAGTGGCAGATCGCAAGGCTTTCGCGTACGTACGACGGCGACTGTCAGTAGACACAGGAGCCGTTTCCGGATCAACCGACGTGGGCGGGAAAACGAGCGGCGTGCAGCACCTGCTGGACCTCGTCACGAATGACACTGGTGATAGAACCAACATCGATTTGCCTTGACCCGTACATCTTTTCTATTTCTTCCCGGACGACAGATCGGATGATCTCGCGAATCCATTCGGGGCTTTTGCTCCCAGGGGTGGCGAAAATTTCGGGAGTTGAGGCAGCATTCACTTGACGGTCAAACAGAGCAGACCGTTGGTGCAGTACTCGCTCCATTGTTGCCGCTTCAGTAAGGAACTCAGCAACACTTTTGGGGGGACTACGCACCAAACCAGCAAAAAGTTGTTCCTTCACACCACGCATGAGGTAGCGTAACTTTTTTTCTTCTGCCATAGCAGGATCCGCTCGCTTGAAAAGCCGTGTCATGTCCTCGACGTACATCGAGACGGTCTCGTTGGGCATCTGGATGCGTGATTGTAGTGCACGCTCCGCCCGTTCGCGGCGGTCGGGACTCCTGTAGGTCTCCAGGAGGCGACGCTGGAACTCACGCCAAGATGTCAGAACATCATCCCTGTTCAAAAACCACGTCTTGGCACCGTCTTTTAGGCAAGTGTACACGTTCCGGAGCTTCGCGGCATCATCCCAGTAGTTGATTGCTGCGACCTGTTCGAACTCACTCAGCCAGTCGTCAACATCTTCATGCTGCTCGCCGTGAAAGGGGCTAGGCATGAGCGGGTTCTGGACGGTGCAGTAGATCGGCGTGGAAGGTGCCGGAGCTTGCACGGGTTTTTGTGTCGAAGTCATAGTCTCTGCGTCAGTGGTTGGTGTCTCAGGCGGTAGGCCTCGTTGGCGGCGGCTTACTCTATGAACAGGAGTGTCCACGGGTGCAGGGCTTGTGTTCCGGCTGCTGGCCGGGGTCTTGGGCATCAGGTGGATCGTGAGACGTTGTACCCAGCAACTCCACCAGCCTTGTCACGTTACTCACGACAAACTTGATACAATGAGCTCGTTTAGTCGACTAGCCAAGCAGCGGCTCAGAGAGATCGTCTTTGTCCTCTTTCACTCTTCGATCTCACCCAAGCAAACCATGTGGCAATATTATTGCTTACATATCATTTACACATGCTAAATTGTACCAACACCACACTTACAGAACACACAAATGTTCTTGACTTGATATCTAACCTGATCCAGGCTTCAAACCAGCTCTGGTAATAGACAAGCTTCTCCATTTCTAATGCTTGTTAATGGTGCAGACATGATTTTACAAAGTACTGTAGGTTAGAGTATATTATACTAACAAACTTGTGCATGTGCTGCTTACTGTATAATGTTCAGTGATAGAATTTTTTCTGGAATTATGATGTAAAAAGGAATGGCATACTGTAAGGCACGCTGATAGCAGTCAATAATGTCTCCTCATTCTAACTTACTAAATTGTCAACTTCTAGGCCCTGGCTACAAGTAAAAAGAAAACAGAACACCACTACTGGCAGTTCTATCCTAAGGGCAAAACTTCGACTGTGATAATATGGTTTTGCATTACGCTGAGATGCCTAGATGGACTTTATGTTATGTTAAGTTACAGGTGTGTGTGACTCACCGAATGCAGGCGCATCCTAGCCTTGACACGACCTCCACTGGTTGGGCGATGCATTCGGCCAGTACTAAGAAGAGCTGATGAACCATAAGCATGAGACCTCGCACTTGGGTAAGAGCACCCGAGGCTGCATGTGGAGAAGAACAACACAACGCCGTGACACAGCTTCCTTTTCCAAGCTTTCCCCTTTTGCCGCCATAATGAGAACTATCATAAAGAGTATGTTCAGCTGATGTCAATAATGCAATAATACCAACCAAAGCAGATGCTGATGGGAAAAGTGATCTGGCCAAGTCTAAGTACTCTAGTAGATAATATTGTTATCATTCACAACTGTGGCAGATTACTCAAAACCTAAATATAAAACTGCTTTATAAATATAACGGTATCATCAGCCCGAGGACAGGTCATTTATTGTGAAATTCATTCAAATAAATATCAATGAACACAATCAACAGGACTAGGGACACTATTAGGTGTGGCCCCAAAGATGACTGAGCACACTCTGCTTTAAAAATTATAAATAAACTGAAGCATTCCTCATCTTCTAATCAATGTTAGGAGTCTATGCTGAAAATATTCATTGTGTAGTGAAGCACATGCACGAACACTTATGCGCCTTCAGAAGAGAACGGAAAGCCCCGCGCTCTGATTTCGCAAAGACCTGTGCTGCCTTTGCCAGACTTTGCCGTACAGCCATTTTCCGTTGCGACCTCGTTGCGACTCGTCTGGTTAAATAAACATCATCACATTTGGTGGAGGTTGCTGAGATCCCCAAGCAGACCTGGAGCTCTGCTCTCGCAAGTTGGCCGAGAGACCACCGCACAACATGACTGACGCAGTCGCCAACCAACCCATCCCAACACAGGCAGCACCATCGGCTGCCACGTCTACCTGCCCTGGCGCTACCCGCTAACGGGACCCACCAATCTTCAGCAGCAGTGGTGAGCAAGATGTCGAAGACTGGCTCTCCTTGTACAAACGCCTGAGCGCCAGTAACAAGTGGGACGACGACTCTAAGCTCGCCTATGTTATCTTTTACTTGGCTGACGTCGCTAAGCTTTGGTTTACCAACCACGAAACCGCCATCGCCAACTGGTCCACCTTTAAGACCCTCATGGCCAAAGCGTTCGGCCGACGAAAGGTCCGCAAGCTCAGCGCTTACCAGTGTCTATGCCATCAAGCCCAGCAGCCTGGCGAAACGTTTACTAGTTGCATTGAGGATGTGCTCGACGTCTGCAGGCGTGTTAACCCTTCTATGTCTGAAGAAGAGAAAATTCAGCAGATTTTCAAGGGCATCGAGGATGGCGCATTCCATATGTTGCTAGCGAAAAGCCCGACCACAGTGGCAATCATCGTAAGCCTGTGCCAGAGCTTCGATGAATTGCGCAGTCAGCGTTCAATCGCCCGACAGAGTGTCCCACCGCCGGATTCGATCTTGGCCGTTGCACACGCAAATGACTAAGTTCGCCAAGGAACTCTGTCCAACCAGATCAAAGACTTCATGAAACAGGAAGTTGCCCAACAGCTTTCTCTGCTGCCGCATAGGGACGCGTCCACCGCAAGCCTGCCTTCGACACTGCAGCAGGCCATACGCACTGAAATTGGTGATGCTCTCCCTACGATTCCGGCCCCTTATCCATGCACTTCGGTACCATCTGATCTCTCAACTGCCGGCTACGCACCACCAGCACCACCTACACCTTTCAGCTACGCAGCTGTGGTAGCCCTACCCCCACCGCATCCAGTCTCCTTATCGGCTCCACCTTCTCCGGCCTCGCCTCCAGTTTACAGGCCCCAACCTCGCTTTTTCCGTCCATCTAATGAGTGGCGCACCCATGACGTGTGCTGGCCACATTGCACACTTCTACCGCTGCCGTCCCACACCTGCGCACGCCTACTTTGGAACTCCTACCTATGCGCCGCAGCAGGCCACCATGTCTGCATATGAACAGAGGCATTCCGACTCGGATCGCCGCCCATCAACTGCTCGTTTCCCACCCCTCATCACCGATCGCCATCGCCTATGCGTCGTCGACCACCTCCTGAGGAGGGAAACTAATAAATGCTGTTCCGAAGGCAAGAACTGCAACTTCTGCGCAATTTTCAAGGCCTTCTTTTTCGCTGCAAAATGTTGTTGATGTCAATGTTGAGGGAGTCCCCACACTAGCGTTAATTGACACTGGGGCCACCGTTTCTGTGATGAATGCAAAATTTTGTCGGAAACTGAAGAAAGTGACCACATCCCTCTGTGGCATGGTGCTGTCCACGACTAGCGCGCAGTGCATTCATCCCACGGCTGTGTGTACGGCGCGCGTCATCATCCAAGATGTTTTGTACATCGTCCAATTTTTTGTTCTACCATCTTGCTCTCACGACCTTATCCTGGATTGGGATTTCTTATCATGTCATGAAGCTATCATCGATTGTCCACGTGCGGAAGTGTCTCTTGTGCCAACATGTGAATTTCCATCACCCGACCGTTCTCCTCTGCTCTGTAAACTCATCGCTGACGACGACATCACCTTGCCTCTGGAAGCTTCAGTCCCTATTAGCCTTTCACAAGTGGTGCAACCTGACACCACGGTGGTGTTTACGCCATCTCCGGTTTTTACTGAATGCAAGGACATCATTCTCCCATTTGCCGTACTTACAATTGCGTCTGGTTCCACAGTAATGCTGGTTACCAACCACTGCAACTACCCCATTGGCTTACTCCATGGCGAAACCTTAGGATATGTACAACATGTCGACGACATCGATGATATTATTCTTCCCGACGAAACCCCGTGTCACATTGCAGCAATTACTCATGCGTCTGAGCCATCAAGTTCGTCAGCCTTCGACAATGCTATTGAAGCCGACCGTTCCCCTTCGCATCGCTGCCAACTTGTTCCTCTCCTTAACAAGTTTCGCTCTTCTTTCAACTTTCAAGAACCTGCTTTGGGTCCGCACCATGACTATCACTCATACTATTGACACCGGCTCACACTCGCTTCTGCGACAGCGTCCTCACCGCGTTTCCGCTGAAGAGCGTCGAGTCATTACGGAGCAAGTAGATGACATGCTTAAACGTGGAGTCATACAGCCTTCTTAAAGCGCTTGGTCGTCACCTCTAGTTCTGGTAAAGAAAAAAGATGGCACGGTTCGATTTTGCGTGGACTATCGCCGCTTAAACAAGATTACAAAAAAAGGTATCTACTTGCTACCACAAATAGACAATGCTCTTGACTGTTAACAAGGCTGCCGAGTACTTTACATCCTTGGATTTGCGTTCTGGATATTGGCAGGTGCCAATGGCTGAATGTGATCGCTCTAAAACAGCCATTGTAATGCCAGATGGCCTGTATGAGTTCAAAGTCATGCCATTCGGGCTCTGAAACGCGCCTGCGACATTTGAGAGCATGATCGAAACCATATTGCGTGCCCACAAGTGAAAACTTGCTTGTGTTACCTGGATGACATCGTAGTCTCTTCAGCTACTTTCCCAACACATCTTAGTTGCCTCCACGAGATTTTGACGTGTCTAACTTCTGCAGGCTTACAACTTAACACCAAGAAGTGCCACTTCGCAGCAGGAAAACTAACCATCTTGGGACATGTTATCACAAGAGATGGTGTCTTGCAGGTGTCCTGAAAACCTAGGAAAGGCTGCGCCAACGATATTACTGGCGACGAATGTATCGTTTTGTGCCGAAATATGTTCAGTCTTGCACCAATTGCCAAAAGAACAAGACACCTCCGCGGTACCTTACTGGCATGTTACAACAGCTCCCGTGCCCAGCTCGCCCATTCGACCACGTAGGTATCGACCTCTATGGCCCCCTCCCATATAATGGCTCTAGAAACTGGTGGATTATTGTCGGCGTCGATCATCTGACACGCTACGCTGAGACTGCAGCTCTACCGGCAGTGACTGCCCACGAAGTTGCACTCTTCATTTTGCGCAGCTTCATTCTCCGCCATGGTGCTCCACCGGAATCACTCAGTGATAGGGGTCGAGTGTTCCTGTCGGAGGTCATCCAAGCTGCTCTCGCTGAATGCAACATCATCCACCGGAAATCTACCGCATACCATCCACAGACAAATGGTCTCACCGAGCGGTTCAACGGCACACTTGGCGACATGCTGCGGATGTACATTCCTCCGACCACACTAACTGGGATGCTGTATTACCTTTTGTTACCTTCGCTTATATAACACAGCGATGCAAACGACTACCGGTTTTGCCCCGTTCGTTCTGTTGTACGGCCGCGAACCTTCCCACCCACTAGAACCTTCCTACCCACTCCTGTACCGGCCTGATGCATCTTAGTGCTCTCTGCTTTATGAAGTCGCCAGGTACGCTCAAGACTGCCGTCAGTTGGCTCGGTCTCTGACAAGTGAGGCTCAAGGTCTACAAAAGACTTGACTATGACGACATTCATCACATAGCTCCTACGTTTCGTGCTGGCTTCCTTGTGTGGCTTTGGGTGCCCCCGCACGTTCCTGGCATTTCTTCTAAACTTCTGGCTCGGTACCATGGTTCGCACCGTGTCATTGACGCGACCTCGCCGGTGACTTACATCATCGAGCCCTAACGCAATCGCCAGATTCGCGCCGTCAAGGACGCAAGACCATACACGTCGACTGTCTCAAGCCCTACTATGACCTCCTCATTGTGCGTACTCCCCGAGTCGCCAGGACGGCTACTCTTTACCTCGGGGGTATTCTAGTGGAGCATACGCATCAACGCATATGCGCCTTCGGAAGAGAACGAAAAGCTTCGCGCTCTGATTGCGCGAGAACCTGTGCTGCCTTTGCCAGACTTTGCCGTGTGGCCATTTCCCGTTGCGACCTCGTTGCAACTCCACTGGTTAAATAAACATCATCACAATTGCTACGGTTCCTGTTCAGACTTTTTCTTTGAAAAGCTATGCAATTGAAACATCTGAAGTACTACTTATGCATTTGATTGGATAATGCTGGATTTCCAGATGTTTCTACACACCCAATTTCGCTAAACGAAGACACATACTGCTCACAATGAAGCTCAGAGTAACACTGAAAGCATTTTCCAGCTACAGATGAATAAAAATGGTTTTGCAAAGTTGGACAAGAACCATACAGTTCATCAAACTCGGCTGCATGGCACTCTGCCAGCTCTGTTTCTACTGGCCTATCTTTTGACACTTCTGTCTCTTTTTCTTTTTTTAATCCTAGTTATCCACGGCCATGTACTGTGCACATGGATTGAAACGAGACATCATTTTATAGCAAAATGACAGCTTTGAGCAACTGTTCATAATAACCATGCCTTGTCACTGCAAATATGGCTGATAAAGATAATGTTGGCTCCAATGTCAGTGTTCAGCCAAAATTATACTGATATAACAACCGAAGATGAAAGATACAAAATGAAGAGATACAAGATGAAGGTAGTACAGGCTTACGCGCCTACATCCAGCCATGATGACGCCTCAGTTGAAAGCTTCTATGAAGACGTGGAATCGGCAATGAGTAAGGTAAAAACAGAGTATACTATTGTGATGGGCAGCCTTAATGCAAAAGTAGGGAAGAAGCAGGCTGGATACCAGGCAGTAGGAGATTATGGCATCGGTACTAGGAATGCTAGAGGAGAGATACTAGTAGAATTCGCAGAACGCAATAATTTGCGGATTTTGATTACCTTCTACCGAAAACGAGAAAACCGCAAGTGGACATGGAGGAGCCCTAATGGCGAAAATAAGAACGAAATAGACTTTATAATGAGTGCACACCCAGGAATCGTGCAGGATGTGGAAGCGGTTGGCAAGGTACGATGCAGTGACCATAGAATGGTACGGTCTCGAATTCGCCTAGACTTGAAGAAGGAACGACAGAAACTGATACGCAAGAAGCCAATCAATGAGCTAGCACTGAGAAAGAAAGTACAGGAATTCAGAGTGTCGCTCCAGAACAGATACTCAGCTCTTAGTGAGCAAACCAACCTTAGCGTAGATACAATGAATGATAATCTGACGAGTATCATTACGGAGTGTGCAGTGGAAGTTGGAGGCAGAGTAGTTAGACAGGACACTGGCAAGCTTTCCCAGGAAAACGAAGAACCTAATTAAGAAGCGTCAAATGATGAAAGTGTCAAGTACAACTGACAAAATAGAACTGGCAGAGCTTTCGAAGTTGATTAATAGACGTAAGGTATGCGATGTAAGAAGTTATAACATGGAGAGAATTGAACACGCTCTGAAAAACGGAGGAAGCGTCAAAGCAGTGAAGAGGAAACTTGGGATAGGCAAAAATCGAATGTATGCACTAAGGGACAAAGAAGGCAAAATAACTACCAATATGGATAGTATAGTTAAAATAGTAGAGGAGTTTTACAGAGATCTGTACAATAGCCGAGACAACCACGACCTTAATACTATAAGAACTAGCAGTAACCCAGATGACACCCCACCAGTAATGATAGAAGAAGTCAGAAAAGCTTTGGAGAGCATGCAAAGAGGCAAAGCTGCTGGTGAGGATCAGGTAACATCAGATCTGCTGAAAGATGGAGGACAGATTGTGTTAGAAAAACTAGCCACCCTGTTTACGAGGTGTCTCCTGACGGGAAGAGTACCAGAGTCTTGGAAGAAAGCTAACATCATCGTAATACATAAGAAAAAAAGATGACAAGGACTTGAAGAATTACAGGCCGATCAGCTTGCTCTCTGTAGTATACAAGCTATTTACAAAGGTAATTGCTAACAGAGTAAAGAAAACATTAGAATTCAATCAACCAAAGGAACAAGCAGGATTTCAAACAGGCTACTCAACAATTGACCACATTCATACTATCAATCAGGTAATAGAGAAATGCTCAGAGTATAACCAACCACTATACATAGCCTTCATAGATTACGAGAAGGAGTTTGATTCAGTAAAAATATCAGCCGTCATGCAGACACTGCGGAATCAGGGCATAGATGAAGTATATATAAACATTCTGGAAGAAATCTACAGGGGATCAACTGCTACCATAGTGCTTCATAAAGAAAGCAACAAAATACCAATCAAGAAGGGTGTAAAGCAGGGGAACACAATCTCCCCAATGCTATTTACCGCGTGCTTACAGGAGGATTTCAGAAGCCTAGAATGGGAACAGTTAGGGATAAGAGTTAATGGAGAATACCTTAGTAACCTGCGCTTTGCCGATGACATTGCATTGCTGAGTAACTCAGGGGACGAATTGCAACTCAAGATTACGAAGTTAGACAAGGAGAGCAGAAAGGTGGGTCTTAAAATTAATCTGCAGAAAACGAAAGTAATGTACAACAACCTCGGAAAGGAGCAGTGCTTCGAGATAGGTAATAGTGCACTTGAAGTTGTAAAAGACTATGTCTACTTAGGGTAGGTAATAACCGCTGAGCCAAACCACGAGATTGAAGTAACTAGAAGAATAAGAATGGGGTGGAGCACATTCGGCAAGCACTCTCAAATTATGACAGGTAGATTGCCACTATCCCTCAAGAGGAAGGTATACAACAGCTGTATCTTGCCGGTACTTAGCTACGGAGCAGAAACCTGGAGACTTACAAAGAGGGTTCAGCTTAAATTGAGGACGACGCAGTGAGCAATGGAAAGAAAAATGGTAGGTGTAACCTTAAGGGACAAGAAGAGAGCAGAGTGGATTAGGGGACAAACGGGGGTTAAGGATATCATAGTTGAAATAAAGAAGAGGAAATGGACATGGGCCGGGCATGTAGCGCGTAGACAGGATAACCGCTGGTCATTAAGGGTAGCTAACTGGATTCCCAGAGAAGGGAAGCGGGTTAGGGGGAGACAGAAGGTTAGGTGGGCAGATGAGATTAAGAAGTTTGCGGGTATAAATTGGCAGCAGCAAGCACAGGACCGGGTTAACTGGCGAAACATGGGAGAGGCCTTTGTCCTGCAGTGGACGTAGTTAGGCTGCTGATGATGATGATGATGAACAACCGAAGACAGTGTTAATGAAAGTATGTGCATTACCCCCCCCCCCCCTCCAGCCATAAATTCTCGCTTTCAATTCATCAGTGCTGTACGTGAGAGTGCCAATGGCTCTAAAATGTCCACTCAGCTTCTGAGCACTGGTGAGTTGAAAATACGGTGGACCATCAGACTACAAAGAGATTCAGGAAAAAAGAAATAAGTCCAGATACATAGCATATCCAGAGACTTTATGCACTGTTAGCTGACCTGGTGTTGCGCTTCAAGAAAATTATGAAGAAAAAGAAGCATGAAAACAATTTAAAAAAAACACTGACCACAAAATAAAAGAAATACTACTTTTGTGAGAACAAAGCTCCAGTGGGGGAGTCAAAACATCTTGATTATACATCGCTTTTATATTTGTCGGGTTCATTTTAATTGTCTTCATATCATTTTCCTACCAGATTGGTCTCCCTCCAACTCTCGACTTCATTTACTTCAGCATTATATGGTCATGATCCAAGCACCAACTGAATGTTTCTGTTTAGTCCGTACCTGACAGTTCTCCCAGGTATTCGACCACCGAGCTCTGTTGCTAGGCCACAGCACTGCTTGAAGTTGTTGGCAAAGCCATCCCAACCACGGTATGTCTTTGATGCCCGACGCAACCATCCTTGAAGCATTGGAAGCAGTAAGTGATTCACAGCGTACACACCAAACTCTGGCCCTGTAAAAAATAATGGAGTGAAGCCCTTCAACCTGATGACTAGTATTTCTTGTAAGGTCAGCAGGCAATCCTTTTCAGAGGGGCTATACAAAGTTCGTGAAGTTGTTGTGCATGTACTACAAGGAGATCAAGCCACTTGTAATATCTCAACCTACAACAGCGTAGTTGCTTAGAGTTACCCGATCTCATTTGCCCTGACAACTACAAAATGTTCACTTCCTAAAAAACTATAGAGTACTGTGGAGGGTGCTATCAGCCTCTGTAAAGTCCTCTGCGCATAGTGGCACACACGTGTCCCGTGGATAAGCTAAACTTAAGCTTAACAACTATCGAGCGGTAGGTGGCGCTGGGTTCACCATTATCATTATGGTTAGCGCAGGGGCGGGTCCAGCAACCCATTTAGGGGAGAGGGAAGGGGTCACTTGAAGTAGCACTGTAGGGTGGGTTTTGACTTTTTTGTGTTTAGAAGCATGAACACCTTGTCAAAGCATAAATGCTGGTAATGAGTGCCTGCTCACAGTGGTCCCACTCAACTGATCTAATTGATGATAGGAGGTGGTCGACAAGCACTGAACATAAGGGGGAGTGCTGACACAGGCTTTGGGGGAGCTATCGCCCCTACCGCCACCCCTCTGCACCGCCACTGGGTTAGCGCGGTAGCGCCAGGAGTGACGCAAGGGTGTGATGCTGGGTGGAAGCACATGAGACATGAGCTCTCTTTGGCGTGTGGCCGCTGACGTGAATGGTTGTCTCCTGAAGCGGTCTCGCAGTATGCGGCGACCACGGGTTGTCTTTCGTGGGTCTCTACAGGCGAGCTGAACATCGGCGACGCCACCTTCGCGTTACCTTGTGTTTGTTCTTATGTTGATTGAGTTTATTGGAATATTGTATAAGGTTGTGCTTGGTGTGCTTAGATAGATATTGTTCTTAGACAGATGTAAAAACATGGTTAAATAAAATGTTTTGTTTGGTCTGGTTTGACCATATCTGCTGCGTCCGTGTGTTACGAGAACGTGCCTCATTTCGAGACCCCACATTACATACACGCATTTTAGCACAGTAACAAATGTGATGGCATTAACCATTATCAACATCAGCTTGCCTATCTTCACAGAAGGGAGATATTCCACCAGTAGCGTAGCCAGAATAATGATTTGGGGATAGTCCACCCCCCCTAAATTACATTTCATATGTGTAACTGTGCATACAAACACACACACAAACATTCATATAAGGTTCTTCTCCCTCCGTCGCGGTGGTCTAGTGGCTAAGGTACCTGCCTGCAGACCCGCAGGTCGTGGGATCGAATTCCTGCTGTGGCGGCTGCATTTTCAATGGAGGCGGAAATGCTGTAGGCCCGTGTGCTCTGATTTGAGTGCATCTTAAAGAACCCCAGGTGGTCGAAATTTGCGGATCCCTCCACTATACGGCGTCAGTAAAACTCAACCTTCTACCGACTACCTCTGTTCCCTTGAGCAGAGCTCTCCCAGCTGCGTAGCTGCTGTTGCTACAGAAGGAAGTGGACGGTTGGTTGCTTGGTGTACGTCTTGTCTTGTCGTGGCTGCTGCTTCTTCAGGTATGGAGGCCAGCACATTTCGAACGTTGCAACAACTCAACTCTATATACAGTAACTTATGTACATATTTATAAGACACTTTCACCATCGGAACCGTCGCATGTTGCCTCGGCAGAGCCGATAGTGCAGAGCACTCTTTGCTGCGACCAGACGCACCGTGAGGACTCGGAAGCCAGGTTTTAATCCCTCGGTTGCCCCTCCCGATTCTCCTCATGGCCAACCAAAGCAATTTAGTCCGTTTATTGGACAGACAAAACACTTGTTGCCGTCCCCTCCTCTCGCTCTCTTCTTCCCGCACTCGACCGCTCGGTCGGAGAGAGAGAGAGACGAAAGGACTGGCCTGCACACAATGTTCCACGAACTGTGCGAACGCACACAACGGTGGCGTCGTTCGGCTGCGGGCCTCCTGCCATTACCGCGAGATGACTACGCTGCCCAGCATGACAGCCGGCTGCTGTCCTGCGGACTCTAATTCTGACGGATGGGTGTCTATACACTGTCCTCACGTCACCTGCCGACCATCCACTGGCCGGGAACCATTTAGCTGGTTGTTAGAAGCGGCGAATGACCCCGGACTTCTTACCAGAACTACGTTGTGATTATCGTCTCCCGAGAATCGGTTTTTCGGGAAGCGCGCCCTTTGCGACCAAGAAGACTCACCTCCTTTGGCCTGAGACGCCAGACCTTACAGCGTCTCTCATTATCATATCGTGGTTTTGGGACGTAAAACACCACATATAAATCAAATCAGGGTTCTCCCCCATCCCCGAAAATATTCTGGCTATGGCCCTGCCACCATCATCACCAACCAATTAGTTCTGTTTTGTACCATCTCAGCCTCGTTGCTATGCCAGCAAACTTCCTACTTTTTCAATTCAATTTCAACTTATTTTCCATAAGAATTTCATCACATTGCCTAATTCTCTGTTGCCTTTGACAGCCTCGTTGCTACGCCAGCAAACTTCCTACTTTTTCAATTCAATTTCAACTTATTTTCCATAAGAATTTCACCACATTGCCTAATTCTCTTTTGCCTTTGACCAAACATTTTCTTTTTTTTTATCCATTGGTTCCTATTATGTAACTCAAATAGGAAAGCAGTTATCAATCCTACACATTACTAGGTTAGACCCAATAAAGTTGAAGTACTCATATTTTTGCTGTATTTAGGAGTGTTTGCTAATGCCACCTAAGTTATCACTCACAAGCACCTGCTTTTGAATACGCACTCATCTTGTAACCTTATGCCTAACACTTTTTCTTCCTCTAAGCTCATTGCACAGACCTTGGCTATCTCCAAAGCTCCTTGGTTAACCTCTAGGTTCACGCTGAAGACGTTATTACTGGTATGTAGAACTCAGTGACTTACTTTTTTTATATAAATAGGATCAAGTTGCTGGTCCTATTTCAGGTGATCTTTGACTTTTGTGCTCCATCTTGCCACTGTCCCCCCTCCCCCTCCATAGGTTAACCATCTTTCCCTGCTCGACAAGGAATGCACGAAACTTACCAGGAACCTCTCGAAGTTTCCTCAGCATTTGGAACAGTGTGTCGATGGTGTGCGGTTGGTAGCGGCGAGGACACGTAGCCACTGCGCCGGCCAGGCCCTCCAGCAGTAGAAACCAGACATGTAGCACTCCAGTTGGCCGATCAAGCTCTTCTAGGCTCACGGTTTCGTCAACTGATGCAGGTACAGCCTCTTCGGCTATTTCACTCTGCAATGAAAAGTTTGAGCAATTAGCTACGCTAAAGGCAAACAGCAAGTCAATGGTGATTGTTGGAACAGCGTATTAGAATTTTCATACTGCTTGTCACATGCCAAGAATAATAGAATATGCTCAGTTTGAGGGTATATCCAAGTTTTGTGTTCTGCATACCATTAGTGCAGCACCGCCTTTTTTTGGTACACACATGTGCCTTCGCCTATAGTACTGGCGGTTATCAACAGACAGTGCAGATTACATCATTAGCAACGCATTTAACTGCTGTGATTAGTAGATCTGAAATTTCGCTCAGGTGTTTTCCGAGAGAGTTTCCAAGACATTAACTGGAAATTGGACAACTAAATAATTCAACAGTTTCTAGCAATCTTGTGCGATACGGATGGCAAACTTTAGGTGCTTTGTTGTACACGTAAGCTAGTGCAAAAGAAGGGGAAAAAAGTGCTCACCTGGACGTACCATGCCTTGCTCGCTCCTTCATCATTTGCATTTTCATTGTCAGAGTGTTGAGACACAGAATCGGGCTCCTTGAATAAAATGAGCTCCATGTTGGGTAAGACTGGGTCTACACAGTTCGGTTCAGAGTTGAATTTGATCCTGGTGAAGTAAGATAAGAAGAAGAAGGCATTATTTGAAGTGTTTACAGTTGTATGCTAGTTCAAGTGACACATATACTAAAGACGAAAAGGCTCCATAGAAAGTACTCATGCGCTTCAGAAGTCTTAGAGAGAGATCTCCCAATGCCGGATATCGAGTATAGGACTAGCAAATGATTCAATACCACAAAATCTCATTATAATGAATTGAAATACTATAATAAAATTGAAGTAAATCAAACTTTTCCATGATGTTCCCACAGAGCTATATGTATTCATACACTCATTTTCACAAAATGAAACTGCTGCATAAATGTATATGATGAACTGAATTCACTTTTGAAACAAACCATATTCTGCCATTCAAAATAGGATTGTTGCACGAATGCATATGATGAACTCACATCGTCTTTGAAACAAACCATATTCGGACGTTTAATGACAAGAAGGTGTAGTATTACTTGTGTCGTCGCCTAGCGATGACGGAGCCGGCACAATACACCTCTACCGGCTCGATGTCAATAAAAACCTTTATTTTGGTTCATGTCACTTATGCAAAAAGCATTGTGGAGATATCTTTTGCACATGACCTGCTTCACATTGGCAGAGCCATCTGTTGCAAAGACACGACACTGCACTGCTTTTTGTAGAGTTAAGCAACCATATGGTGTGGAAGTTTGATAATCTCGTATCCCAACATCAAATACGCCATGAAGCAACACTACTACCTTTCACCACTACAAGCAGCTACATAAAAGCAGTGCGCCGAAGCTAAGTATGGCAACCGGGACTGTGCCTATTTAGGAGGCGCAGCCTAAATAAACCCAATCGCAGTCATCCTACAACTAAATTGTACTACACAGGGAAGCATAACTGCAATAGTAATAGCGATGGCCAGTCGCTGCTTGAGTGCATCTAGTGTGACTAGTGCATATTTAAGAATGGACACATTGTTTGCTTTAGAAAGTAAGGAACTGCAACATCCTCACACCGCTCACATGTCCTTTCTCAAGTTTCACTTTGCTTTACGATATTTTGCATTTGTGTATAATCACAACTGCCTAAAGTATGAACAGAACAGACCTAGGCGATAATGCACAGATGCATCGTAATGATTTTTGCTTATGATGAAAGCACAGGGTCACTGGGACACTGTCAGCAAACAACTAAATCAGCAAGAGGCCCATTGAAGGGTACATACCAAGGAGTAAGCGATGCTGAAAGTTTCGCTTGGGCTTCAATAAATTACGATAATATTACCAATCTGAGGAGGCTCACCTGCGAGCCGAGTGGAAGACTGGACATGCCGGCATCAGGTACATGGAAGAGAGCATCTGGGCGCATCTCTCCAGGTAGCGCAGGGCAGCTTGGCACAGGTTGAGGGGTATTACCTCCCCGTCTTGAGCAAGGCATGCCTCAGATTCAGCCTGGTCTTGTAGCTCAGCTAGACGGTTTGAGCGACAGCCGTAGAGAAGACCATGCCATTAACACCAAAGATTTGATTTAACAAAATTTATACTACCGACACTCAAAATTCAAAATGTGAACAGCAAATGTCACACCACAAATGACATCCTATTTCTACCTGTCCAAAATCTCCGATTTCGTAAAAGCGTCCCCACACCAAGGCACACATAAACACACCCCAAGACACACAACATACTACATCCCATTAAATGTATGAGGTAAAATTATATTTTTGCTGTGGAAAAATATCTTCACTGTTATCGTTGCCGCTCAGCCTAGCAACAGATGAACAGGCTGCTCTCAGTCTCAATGAGTGTTCGATAGCATTGCCATCTTTTATATGTGTACGTGCACAGTCACATAACATTATTAGTCAAACTTACTAGTCAATCATTATTAGTCAGGAAATAAAAAGAAAACATGTAACATGTACTTCACAAGCAGCATCTAAATATTGTCATGGGTATGCCAAATATCATCACAAGTTTATAAATACTTAATACTGTCATGGGGAATAATAATACGTTGTGTTATGATTACCCAAAACTTTCAGATTTGCGTATTAACAGATGAAACACCAGTCTATATATATTTAGGGCAAAAGCTTTCGAGTAGACAATGAGGTGTCAGAGACATACCTGGTCCTCGGACATGCTTCAGAAGACAGAGGAGGCAATCAACAGCAGCGTTGGCAAAGACGCTTGGATTGTCAGTGCCGAGGAAGGCATCAAACACGTCAAGAACAACTCGCAAGTGGTGAGTTCTTTCCAGCTGCTCTCGTTCAGATATGGCACTACTGGTGGAGCTTCCATGTTGAGTGCGGGGTCCCGCTACGGCACAAGGCATGCGCACGGCACGCAGTGCGCCAAACAACGGCCGCCAACCAGAGCGAATTTCCGCAGTTGATCCTTCGACAAACTCGCAGATGCAGCTCACAATCTGCGGACGAAAGAAACTGCACATGAAGCGAATTGGCTGCTGTGTCCACAGCCAGGACTGAACATGTCACACCCAGCTTTATGAATTATTGCCCACAATGAATGACGGTAAAATCTTCACACAAATTTCATGGAAAAGTATAGCCCTGTCCATTGAGTATATGAAGACAATCACTGCTGCTTTTGATTGCTGTGTTTAATGTATCAAACGCCATGTGTCCGAAAGTGGTCTTCTATATATATAGTCTCATGACCACTTCCTGGTGCTAATGGTAGTAAATTAGAGCCACAAGATGGCTCTGTTGTGGCAAACGCTGTCAAATAACGCATTAAAATGAGCAAGTGCCCATCTCAAAATAAGGATGGTTAGTGCAGCAAGGGTGTCAATTTAACGATGAATGAATGAAATGTCATATTACCGGTATATTGGGCTATTTCACGATATTCTTTGACTTCGGAGTATCCAATTTGCAAGACCATCACTGACTTTTATCAGCAAGAGAGATCGCCTATTAACTTTTTTTAATGCTAATGCACAGGCTTGTGCAAATAGTGAATTTTAGGTTCGAAGTGAATTTGAAACAAAACGTGATATCCGGTAGTATGTTCATTTGACCTTGAAGTGGAGCTTAGCGGCATACAGATTTCTGCTGGATAGATGTTTTGACGGCTTAGCATTCCTTTATTGCCGTAAAACCACGTTTACAAGGAGTTACATGCGGACTACATTAAAAAAAAAGATCGAGTAAAATGGGTGTCGTTTTGTCCCACAACCTATTGATACAACTCTCACCTAAACTGTCTAAAAACCTGCTCTGCAGCATTATTTGACCACTTTTTCCATGGTAAAGAACATTAGCTTGCAAAAGCCAGTAACGATACATTCTACTTAGTCAATCAAGCAATATTCTGCATTATGAAATATGCAAACATGATGTGCGCAGTGCATACTTAACATCCTGATAGCGTACCTGCTCCTGAATGTCCACGTCACAAAGCTCCAGGCAGAGGATGTTCTCAAAAGGCTTGAACAGTGCTTCGTTGAAGTGGAAGTGAGGCAGATCAATGTGCGTCGACAACAGGGCACCCACAATGTCATGAATTGAAGTCACTGCCCTTTTGGCAATCACGTTGTCCTTGTGACAAGCCACCTTAAGAAAGAAAAAGGACGTCGTAATGGGCAGCAGAGCAGCAGCACAAAAACATGCCATACTTTGTGACAACCACTATCCAAAAGAAACCTTGTACATAGAGCAAACAAAGAGCTTTCAAACCACTCGTACCTTAACTCTTCATGTTCAAAGCAGTGAGGAATAAAGATAAAGATTTCACATGTCATCCTTGAAGTAAGTGTCACCTTCAGCACATAGTAAAACTAAAAACATTTTCAAGCTGCCTTTGCTATTATGCACACTTATGCCCCTTTTCCACTAGAACCACAACTGACTGACTTCAGCATATGAGTAATAGTAGCGACTAATACGTATTATCTCTGCTTTCAAGTTGCTCGATCAGCTGTCAACCTGTGCTCCCTCTTATCTCCCTAGCTAAACCCTGCATCATGATCTCAACGTGACGCTTACGCTGGCAACAGATCGCTTTAACTAGCTTGTGCCTTGGTACTGGCACCAAATCTGTCACAGTACAAGTGCCTGTCATAACTCTCAACAGGGTTTTGCAATGAAGACAGCCAGATCTGTCAGTCAACTGTTTAGCTACCAATTGTTCCATGCCATATGTGCACTGTTTTTCCTACATGTGAAGCTGTGTTTGTTCTGGCAGACCGCATCACGGACAACAAAAAAGTACATGCCACACTGTTTCTGGTGAAGTTAAATACTGTTGTGACATAGAAGGATGCGTGCCAGGTCGCTTTGAAAGCAGGCAGATGCGTTCCAGATGGTGCCTACGGGAGGTCAAACTAAAGCCTCAAGCATAGCAGACTGCAATTGAATCATTGAACGAGTGTTTCGTTGCACAAAGACAATTCCTAAGTCAATGTTCCACTGAGCAAATGGACGTTTGGCATGAGGTGGGCCTACCCAGCACCTCCGTCAGTTGACGTGATGGGACACAGAAGCGTGCCAGAGAGGAGCAAAATTTCGAGAAGCTTTATCGGTACTCGTAATAAAACATATTCCTCTTCTATTCAAACTAAAAGAACCTATGCTGCTTCATCTCCACCATGACATGGCCCATAAACACAGAAACACAATTGTCAAAATACATTAGTGCTGCTTGGTGAATACTGTTGTTGAGTGAATCAAACAGACCACGTACATCCCAATCTGGATCTCACAGAGCGCACGGCCTAAAGCTGCTTGCACTCCTGCACTCCATTCATGAAATCAGTCAGGTAAGTAAGCAGAACAAACATAGTCAGAAGAAAACAGGAGATATTGAGATCATCATCATCATCATCATCATCATCATCATCATCATCATCATCATCATCATCATCATCATCATCATCATCATCATCATCATCATCATCATCATCATCATCATCCTGACTACGTCCACTGCAGGACAAAGACCTCTCACATGTTCCGCCAGTTAACCCGGTCCTGTGCTCGCTGCTGCCAATTTATACCCACAAACTTCTTAATCTCGTCTGCCCACCTAACCTTCTGTCTCCCCCTAACCCGCTTCCCTTCTCTGGGAATCCAGTTAGTTACCCTTAATGACCAGCAATTATCCTGTCTATGCGCTACATGCCGGGCCCATGTCCATTTCCTCTTCTTTATTTCAACTATGATATCCTTAACCCCCGCTTGTCCCCTAATCCACTCTGCTCTCTTCTTGTCTCTTAAGGTTACACCTACCATTTTTCTTTCCATTGCTCGCTGCGTCGTCCTCAATTTAGGCTGAACCCTCTTTGTAAGTCTCCAGGTTTCTGCTCCGTAGCTAAGTACCGGCAAGATACAGCTGTTATATACCTTCCTCTTGAGGGATAGTGGCAATCTACCTGTCATAATTTGAGAGTGCTTGCCGAATGTGCTCCACCCCATTCTTATTCTTCTAGTTACTTCAATCTCGTGGTTAGGCTCTGCGGTTATTACCTGCCCTAAGTAGACATAGTCTTTTACAACTTCAAGTGCACTATTACCTATCTCGAAGGGCTGCTCCTTTCGAGGTTGTTGTACATTACTTTCGTTTTCTGCAGATTAATTTTAAGACCCACTTTTCTGCTCTCCTTGTCTAACTCCGTAATCATGAGCTGCAATTCGTCCCCTGAGTTACTCAGCAATGCAATGTCATCGGCGAAGCGCAGGTTACTAAGGTATTCTCCATTAACTCTTATCCCTAACTGTTCCCATTCTAGGCTTCTGAAAAGCTCCTGTAAGCACGCGGTAAATAGCATTGGAGAGATTGTGTCCCCCTGCCTTACACCCTTCTTGATTGGTATTCTGTTGCTTTCTTTATGAAGCACTAAGGTAGCAGTTGATCCCCTGTAGATTTCTTCCAGAATGTTTATATATACTTCATCTACGCCCTGATTCCGCAGTGTCTGCATGACGGCTGATATTTCTACTGAATCAAACGCCTTCTCGTAATCTAAGAAGGCTCTGTGTAGTGGTTGGTTATACTCTGAGCATTTCTCTATTACCTGATTGATAGTATGAATGTGGTCAATTGTTGAGTAGCCTGTTCAAAATCCTGCTTGTTCCTTTGGTTGATTGAATTCTAATGTTTTCTTTACTCTGTTAGCTCTGTTACTCTGTTACTGTTACTCTGTTGTTTACTCTGTTATCTCTCAGTGGTAGATATTGAGATGCTGACCGCCAACCAAATGGTTGCACTGTGACATCAAAAAAGGTACACAGAAACCTTATCAGCACTTGCTCCGAGCCAGCTTTTATATAACTCCATAAGAAATAAATAGAGTGCTTAAACAGCTATTTTTTATGTAGATCTGCACATATACAAGATTGACGGGTCATGCTGCCCTTTATGGGCATGCGTAGAGAAATTTTGTGTCTACCTTCTTTTTTGCTGGCATTTCTATTGTTCTCTTCTCTTGTGTCTGCATTAACAAACCATACTTCCTCTGCAGTGCATTTCTACCAGCTAGCTAAACTTGCTGTTGCTCTATATTTGCAAAATCTTTAAATGTGCCGTGTCATCCAATCGCATTGGGTCATTTTATCTGCAGAAATCTCACTACTAGGATTTATCAATTCAACCAACTACTGAGCCTTACAAGTCTCGGAAAGAGAACTCACCTCAACGAAGTGAGGTGCCACGACACTCCAGGCCTTCATGATGTGCACCAGTGGTCGACCTCCACGGGAACACCGAAGCATCACCTCACTCAGCCTGCTCAGCAGCAGCACGGAGTGTCGAGCGGTGAGCGGAGTGCCCCGGTTGAACAGCTGGTTCCGGCTAGCAGCACATAGCTCCGACAAGAAGTCGACCAGAGCACACAAATTCAGCTTACCAGCTGCCTCATCAAAAAGCCTGTTCCGCACAGATGAAAGAAAAAAAAGCATGCTTAGAAGTCTTTTATTATAACTTATACGCCTGTCACACGGGCACTTAAAAGTCTTTTAAGTAAGCGGTCTTTTTCCGAAAAGGAGTTCCTGACAGCAGACACACGGCACAGAGCGAACTTTTTCAGAAGCGGTCTTTTTCGTAAACGGCATTCGTCGATCTCTTTTACGGCTCCGAATGAGTAGCCTCGAAACCAGTGGGCGCCAGCAATTTTCGATTGGTGGGAAAAAAAGAGCGAATGCTTATTTTTCTGTCACCAAAACTCTTTGTAAAAACAAATTTCATATCCTGCAGAAGGTGTAATGAACTCTTTTAATGGTTATTTCCTTTTCTACTCTCGTAAGCAGCTACAACGCGTCGGCAATATCACATGGTGACGCTCGGTCTTGCGCTGCTTTATCCTCTCCTTGGCGGCTTTTGCAGCGTCTGCCTCGCTTTCCAGAGCGAGAAGGCAGGCCGTGAGGCTTGCAATCCTCGCTTTTTCTCCCGTACAGTCGCCCATAACGTGTCGAGAACAGTCGAGAGCAGCGAAAAACAAACACGGTAAATAAAAGCACAGTGGTGCCAGACGGACTTGTGCACGTCGCTAGTTATCGGAATGCTTCCTTATCTAGTGCAAAAACCTTTCACATTGGTGTTTCTTCATCTCTTATTCTTAAATTTATTTGAAGAAACGAGCAGTGCAACAAGTCTTTAATTTGTACATCGTGATAAATCGTTTAATTTTCATTGCTTCTCTTTTAACTGCTAGCGCCACGCTTTTGCTGGCGTCTTCGAACGAAAACGCTAAAAAGAGATCGTTGCTGCCGTGTGTCTGCGCTGCAAATGCCTCTTTGTTAAAAGTCTTTCAACTTCGTAAAAGACCGCTTACTTAAAAGACTATTTGCGCGCCCGTGTGACACAGGTATTAATTGCATAATTTCTTGAAGGTGTCTCCACCGTCATGCACTTTGTTTTGATAGAGGAGGCAGAAAGAACCATATCGCTTATAGTCAAAATTATTGCTTGCCGGAGGCTTATTTTGGTGATGACATTCAATTATGTTTATTGTTTAATTTGCAGTCTGCTGTTATAATTGTCTTAGAGTTAATTACAGAGTTTTAACAATTTTCAGATGCACCTGAGAGGTATGTGTCCTGCAGAAAGCCAAGTGCATTCAAATTTTCTAGTACGATGAAGAAGTGGTATTAGATATCATACGTCTGTGTATGCACCTAATAGAAACAAGAGCCACCAAAAAGGTTCGTCAGGAAGTATGTGCTAGCTTGAATGTTAGGACATCTTGTCTAAACTAAATACTACATAAATATTATGCATATTACAAAGATAGTGGGGGAAAAACAACATGAATTTGGGAACAAACCAGGGTTGTTGATAATCCAACTAAAGAAAAAGTGGAGAGAATTCACCTGCGAGATTATCCCAATTCGCAGCATAACAAGCAATCTGTTTGACTGAGAGGGCATGAAAATAACGAGATCACAGTAATAAGCAGGAAAGAACCAGCTGCCCTAGAAAAAATTTGCAGGCACAATTTTTGTGTCTTTAATGTGGCGATGTAGAAAAACCAGCAAATTTGAATCATCAGCGCATCTACAGTTGCCTCACCCGATTCTGTGCCTGAATAACAGCGACACAAGGCAGAACACTGACCGAAGCAAATGTATGTGCTTCGCAAAGCCCCTATTCGACCCAACCACGCCACGGAACGCAAATGTACAACCTGTCGACTAGCTGTGAGAGTGCTTCAATAATAGGTTGCAGCTGCTTTCCCATGAGGACAGAGGAGCCAGACGCTTGGGTAGCGTTCTTTACTAGGTCCACGACATTGGCACTGCCCGCGTGACCAACACCAGGCATTGACAGGGCCTCCACAGCCATTTCCTCTCTGCATATCAAACAATTTCAAACGCTTAACTTGAAGGTAACCATCCCTACAAAACTTGCATGCTCCAGAAGCTCCACATGATCCCAAAGAAGCATATGAATATCTATATTACAAAAAATCTATAAGATCATGTGGGATCAGTCAATATAGACGTGATAAGAACCATGGCTTTCTATATGATGTGCAAAATGGTCACTATGAATAATTTAGCCAAAAGAGCTAGGACAATCCAAGAAGTAAGGGCAATAAAGATAAACTACTTAAAAATATGTGCAGTTGCAAAAGATTATTGCCATTCGTTAGATGGAGAACTGCCTTGTAATACAACATTAAAGTTTTTATAAAAAACAAAATAAAAAAGCAACACTACGGACTCCAAGAACTGATCAATTAGCACCTAAATATACCAATAAAGAAGGCATAAGCACTTTTTATTGGGTCCCGTGCCCATTCTCAGTGCCACTTGAGTGTGTCCAAATCACACAATGTCTTTACTATTGTGTACCCCACCACCTGCCCTTCCTTGAACACTGATCATTAAAAAGAACAGCACATTATTCTTCGTTTATGCCAAGTGCCTCATTTCTGTTCTTGTGCTGTATTTATATGCAGTTCTGTGCTTTTCGTCCTTGCCTTTTCTCCAACTTTGCTTGCCAGAAAGAGGGCTTTGATCCATTTGTCATTTCAGTGTTTCCCACAACTTAGTGTCTCAGCTTTGGGACCTTTTTGTGCCTTGACACCTCAGGAAGGCATACAAATTTCCCCTAATCATTGAATAAGAATGCCAAGTCTGCCCTGCATGTTTACTGGCTCAGACTTCTACTGTCATTGTTTAAAGTAGAGACGCAGGTAGAAGTAAATTTGATTAAAGTACCTATCTTTGATCTGATATTGGGGCGGAAAGGCAAATGTGGCTGAGTGTCAGTTTGTGCTGTGTATCCCATGGTAGGAAAAGATTTCCGGGGAGGGGAGCACGTGCCCGATGGGCCAAGCCCTGGCTACACCGCTGATTTAAAGTGCATGCAGGTTTTTGTTGATAATGGCTGCCAAGGGCCCGTGACGTTGCATTTTAAGAACGATTTGTTACCAATATTCAGCCCCAGAAAGCTGGCTACCAAAGGCAGGCCATTATGATAAGAACATCATTAATACATATTCATTTTCACATCCACTGTGAAGCCATTTTTTGTATCTATCAGTAAAAGGCCCTGAGCTGAAGCGAAACTTTGCACTCCTAATGAAGAACACTGCGCGAATCGATGCTCAACACTATCGTAGAAGCTGAAAAGGTGCAGAAATGCAAAATTACTTGTGGTTGATTATGCATTGTGACCCCTGCACATACTATGCCGAGGATGCACAAATGCATGAAATCATGAAAACTATGCGACTAGGATGAGTTCAAATGCAGAGAAAGAGCTGAATTTGTGAGAAGCTACTGTAGAGACTACTTGATGGGCTCGTAACCAGGTATGGGCATCGCATAAACAGATAACTGAGGAATGTATGGATATCATGTGAAGTTTAGAATGACAGAAGATTGAGTTAGTTTACAGGAACTCATCACAAAATAAGGCGAGGCATGCCAAGATGGACGCAACAGAAGAAAACCAGACAACACAAATGCAAGTTTTATGTTAAATGCTGGCGTTTGCATTATCTGGTTCTCTTCTGTTATTCCTATGTGTGTTCACACCTGAACTTCTTCAACAGCGTAAATCATGCTGTGGCCAAAGTGTCCACAAGTTACCAGAAAGATGCTAGGTAAGAAAATGGTTCAATTTTTCAGAAGGAATGTTCTTTTATTTTTGCTGTGCCCCACTTCCAGCCCAAACTCAAGGTCACATGCTCGATATGAACAACCTGCAATCTAGTCAACTGTAGTAGCACGACTCTACGATCAATGAACCAATACAGAATATGCAAAACCTTCACACAAAGTGTGCTGTGAAGCAAAAAAGGAGGAGCAAAAAGAAAACGAATTCTAGGTTAGTGATGCAAAAGGGATGATGTTTCTCATCTCCTGAAAAAGACAGGGCAGGAAAAGAATGTGTTTTTCAAATGCAAACAAGGTAAGGGCAAGTGTGCATAGCTGGGCTGTGAAGCTTGCTCTCAGGCAGCGCACTGACATGACATTTAGATCTCTCCCACGTTAAAATACGCTATGTTTCTTATTACTATGGTAAAGCCCTTTTCAGAGATCATCCTGCAGGTTCCGGTGTAAAGCTAAAGTTTATTATAGAATAAAAAATAATGAAGCATAAAAGTTTTGCAGGTAAGAAACCACAAGAAATATTCGACTGAGGTCAACTACAAAGCTCACTCGAACTGTTCAGATGGTGGCTGAAGAAGGAGGCAGTCAGAGGAAGGCTGAGCTTTCGGGCTCAATGCCTGCTGAACCTTTTCGCCCCACGAGAAGGAGGAGAGCTGCAGCTTCAGGTGAGAGGACCCCGAAGGTGACGAAGAGGTTGGCTTCACCTGGAAGCAGCTCTGCTCCAGTTCCAATATGTAGCTGCAGCACCTGAACATGCACCGCACAACCCAGCCTTGTCGTCACAATGTGCACTGGTACATGACAGGTCATAGGTTACCATAACAACACTGGCATTGGAACCCTCAAAAACACAATAGCTTTCGTGCATCTCTACGTGAAAGCCAAAAAAAAAATGGCAGGAGGTAGAAGATAGAAGCTTGCTGCGAAAAAATTCGCTTTAGCCAACGTTTTGACAAGTGGACTTGTCTGTTCATGGATTTTTTTTGTTCATTTACTATACTGAAAACATCTTTCACCCAGCAATATTTATCGATGTAGACTCTTAAAATGCCTAACTTAGCATAGTTTAACCAAAAACTGCCCAGCCAAAAGATCATGGTAAAGAGTTGTGTTCCGTAAACAAAAGCTACAGGGCAGGGTGCACGTATAGCACAGCTGTATCTGACACACTACAACACATCAAAGGCGGCACAACTAAAAAGTGATATGTGCGTGCTTTTGTAGGCAGCTGCGCTAGCTGACTGACGGAAGTTGGCTGAAAACAACAAACTGACATTTAGAGCGGCAGCTGCGATATTTGCAAGTTTTCATTCAAAAAGCAAGTGCTACAAGTGTAGGATATGGGAGGGTCAGCCATTTCTGCCTATGCAGCAGAGCACAGGCAATGCAATAGGCCCTTCCTCACAAATGCAGAGACTGCCTACTAGTTTATGAACTTTACCCTTTATTCGATTTCCTATTTCCCTCAAAGGGCATTGTAATTTTTCTGGTACTCACTTGCAAGATGCCATTGATACAGCCATTCTGTGAAGTGCACGTGTCATGTGGTATGGTTTTATTAAATTTAAGCTTTATTGTAAATGTGCCAAAAAGTGTGGGTGAAGTTGAAATTAGTTGAGTATTTGTTTTGGCCACTCTCGAAATTCTAGCATACTGTTCCCAGAAAAACTTTGTCCACAAGAAACACACTTGGAATTCACATGAGCAATTCATACGCATATAAAATGAAACTGAAGTTCACTCCTGGTTCTTCTAAGTATATATGGCACGTGCTGTCTTTCATAACCAATTTCAGGACTAAGGGAATTGTACTTGCGAGGCAAAGCACAGTATTATATATAATATTGAATGCAGCAGCAAAAGGCAAAATGAATATAAAAGCTACCCATCAGGATGGATCTTGTGAAAAGAGCCATCAAAATTTTATAAAGTAGTACTGCACCACACTTTTGCATGAGAATTCAAGGGGATACTGCAGCTACATGGTACAAAAAAATAAAATGGCATATCTGAGCGTAAGATACCCGTGACTGACCATATTGCATTAGCTTTTCTATGTTAAGGAAATAGATAGTAAAACATGAAGTCTTAGTGAAACTACAGCTTGAAAGTGCCAATGATTTATATGGAACAATAAGTCATATCAACTTCTTTGTTAATGTGACATGCATCAATAAAGAAGTATTGTAGTAGAAGAAGTTGCTAAGTTTCGAACAATAGCAAAAAAAAGGTTGCTTAGAGCAAATCAGTCAGTTTAGTAAACAGCCAGGTAAATAACAGCTCATTTATTTCACATGCTTAATGAGCAATGTGAGTTATTCCCCACCGTAGTAGCTATGACAGCCAATAAACACAAGAAGTACCCCAAAGAGGTACTGCACTGCACCTGAACACATGCTTCCAGCACACCGCACTGTGACTTCCCAGTTCAAGGCCCCGACTAAGCAGGACATCCATGCTGAGGACGTGTGATGCATGCAGCCGCACCGACTTGCTGCGGCTAGACATCATCGTCTTGCGGAGGCGGTCCCTCTTGGAAGTCTTCCTGCGCGCCTGGCCGGCAACGCCCCCATTGGAATCCAAAGCCGGACAAGATGCCGCTGCCAGCTGGGCAAAGATGGCTCCACATTTGGTCTGCAGTCCTAAAACAGAAAGCATTATGCAAAGAAATGTAAGCTTGCAATAAAAAATCTGTAAATAGGAGTTGTGTCACGCCATTGTTTCAACAAACAAGCTTGTCTTTCTCAAGGCCAGGACAGAATTGATCTGTTCTTCAGTTCTGTTGTGGCCATGAGAAAGACAAGCCCGTTATCAAAATGTCGGCTCAACACAACCCCTGTTTACTGATTTTCATAGAAAGCATTATGGTAGCGTTTAAAGAAGAGAACTGAAGTCCACTCATTTTGTAGCACAAAACGAGAGAAAAGTGTAAGGTTTCACTAGAAAAAAAAAGTACCTAACTGCAAAGAGCTTGAAAAGACAAAGACAACAAGAAGAATACAACACTAGTGCTAACTTCCAACAAGTGGGCTTATTTGGGCTTTGCAGATGCTATGTCACAAGAACAAGGCTGAACAGCAGCAGAAATAACGTTCATGGTTGAATAATTAGTCCTGACCACGTATTTGAACCCAGACCTAATGCCTTTCCTGTGCAGTCCCTCTGCCATCTGAGCTAACCAGAAGGCTAGCAGATCGTGGAGTGAGGGTGTAGTAGTCGACAACACGATGAAGCAGCGGGACATCAAATATTCACTCCAGTTCTCCAGAACACCACAAGCTGGAGAAAGTCTGCTGCAATGTGAGGTAAGTCATAACTTTTCCTCTTATCAACTTTTTTGGACATTGAAAGCTACAATACTAATATATGATTGAGTCCTTCACAGTGGGGATAGCTATAAAAACAAGGTACTAATTAATGACCAACTGATCAATGTGGTTCAACCAAAGCTGCATCTAAGCTGTGAGAGGAGTCATAAAAGGATACCAGGCTAATCTTGAACAAACCTTTTCTTATAAACTAGCTTTCGACTCAGTCCAACAGAATTACGTTGTAGAAGCAGAAGCAGCTGCATAGTCATATGTAAGAGAACAATAAAGAATTCCAAGTAGTCAAGCTTTGATTTAAGGAATTTGAAATCTGATCATGTGGTTCTTCATTCAAAGAGAAGACACAGGCTGCTGAAAGTTACCATCAAGAAGGGCTTCGCTCTTATTGCGACCAGTTGAGGCAATTCTTTCATACGCAATAAATTTGGGTACAGGCGTTCTCTTGCATTCTGCTCCTGTTGGAGTACAGCTTCAGCTAAATGGCATTGAATCACTAATAACGTGCTTTGATGCATACCTGGACCACCACAGTGCACGAACATCCCCCAAAGTTCTTTACTGCAGCATTTCTTATATACCATGCTTAGCATTGCAAATGTTGCCCCGCCGCGGTGGTCTAGTGGCTAAGGTACTCGGCTGCTGACCCGCAGGTCGCGGGCTCAAATCCCGGCTGCGGCGGCTGCATTTCCGATGGAGGCGGAAATGCTGTAGGCCCGTGTGCTCAGATTTGGGTGCACGTTAAAGAACCCCAGGTGGTCGAAATTTCCGGAGCCCTCCACTACGGTGTCTCTCATAATCATATGGTGGTTTTGGGACGTTAAACCCCACATATCAATCAGCATTTCAAATGTTAAAACTGATCAATTTCCATTAGCTTGAGGTCTCTGCACTGAATATAAGACCTCACCAAGGATGTTGCAGAGTTTTGCAGCGCACTGCAGTCCGTCAAGGCAGTTGGCCACAGCCTCCCGAGCTTTGCGATGATCTTCTTTGGCACCATCCGTTCCGAGCAAGAGGCCCAGAGAGCTTGCAATGCCACAGGAGTTCGTGCCATTAAGGAGCACTGACAGAACCTCCAGCATAGTGTCCCAACATGCAGTCAGCACATGACGAGCAAACTTCATGCCTGCAGTAGGTAAGACAAATGATAGCAACGCTTTGCCTCAGGTGGAGCTCCTACCAATACTTCTCTGACATGAATGACTTCATTCAAAGGAGAGATGACAACACATTTCCAGGGGCAGCTGTCATACACAACCACTCACTTAGTAACTCCTGTGGCACACGATTGCTCTGATTTGAGAAAATGCGGGTCTGATACGATCCTTTGTGTGACATATTGCTCCCTAACAACGCCTTCTTTAACCAATTTGAATACTCAGTTCGACTATCTCAGTAACAAAGCATGAACTTCTATAATATACCTGGAACTATGTAGTAGGTGTCATTCAAATTTAGTTTATACATCATAAATAGCACACCTTTTATCAAAAGAGCGCAGACTTTTTATCAAACTCAAAAGCTGGCAAATTAAACCACCTGTGTGTAAGCGCATAGTGCAGTACCTTGCTCAAGAAATGGAAAAAAAAAAGGGGAACCCGTTTTTTTAAGCTGACTTCTAACAGAATGAAAGAACTACCATATTTTGTTTCCGAGTGCTTGTTTTGTAACTATTTGTGCGAGATAAGCCAAGGCACCACTTACCAGCCAACATGTGAGAAGTAAAGACCACATTGGTGGCGGCCCTCTCTAATCTTCGATAATCCGACAGTTGACGTGAGCCTAACTGATCACTACCGAGGCCATCTACATCTGAAAAAGAAAGAGCAAAGGTAACAAGGCAAATCAGCCTTCACTATAAATCTCAAAATATATTTCACTTTTATATGTCTGGCACAGTGCTTTCAGAAGCGAGATGTATCAGCTGATAAGAAATTTCTATTTAAACTGGAGTTTCTGCATTCATGAAATCAATCATACGTATACAGTTTCTCGTATTGTGAAGAGGGCGAAGGAAAGCTAAAGTTGTGCCTGCAATTTCGCAACAATATTTTAAACAATATTGTCGCCCCTCGTTCACATCTCTTCTTATGCCTTTGGTATCCCAATATATCTGCAATACTCAGCTAGGATATACCCACAAGGCAATATTATTTGGTTTTGTCTCCATACAGGGATGTAATCAACATCAAACACAATGGGTACATGCTACAGTTCCTCCAATGTTTTCATGTGCCGGGAATACCTAGCACATAACAACATGCGTCAACACCAACTCATCTACTCTGCCTCTTCATGCCTAGTTAGGAACACTAATAGTATTCTTGCACTCTGTGTTTCAGTGAGCGGGCCATAAATGCTCAATTACTTTTCTAATAATCAACGTAAGCCTTAACCACCATGGTAGGATTTAACTTTTGATACGTATCAGAGCTCTGAACAAACTTTTTATAGTACATTAATGCGTTACATAAAACTGTCATGGCCGTTAGCAGTAGCTCTTTTGACGATGAGACCACAGCAACAGCAGACACCGCACATTCTCAGCAAGTCTTGGGAGCAAGTGTACCAATGACAACACTGAAATAGGCGTTGGGGATGTTTGGAAAGAATAGAATACCAACCTGTGAGTAAGTTGATGAGTGCAAGGTTCATTTTGGATTCAGGCTCGTATCCGGCTTCACGCAGTAGGCTTCTTGCAAGCACTTGCTGATACAGCTCTGACAGCCATGTCGCTGACAAATACACTAGCACACCACTTCCATGTACCTCGTCCACAAATTTTTCCTGCGTGCAAGCCATTTTGTTAACACACACAAAATGAGAAGCTTCCAAGAAGTGCGACACTGTGCACTGGCATACACAAGCACACAACACAAAGCAGAATGTTGAACATGTTGCTGGAAGACCTTTATTATGTGCAGGTTGTGAAACAAGGCATAGAGTCCTTGGTGGCCTATGGATAGCGTGGACATCTATTGTATCACGTATCTCACAAGCCCTGGTGTTGGTTCATTAACAGCTTTGCCTGGTGCTTCTGCTCAATAAGTGAAGACATCACTTCACATTTGCTTTCGCTAGAGCTTAGCTGTCACATTTGATAAAATCCAACTTAGCACGCCATAACATTTAAGGAAAGTAAGAGTAAGGAAAATATGCAGTAGAGTTTCTGAAAGCTGAAAGAAAAAGCAGGTGGCTTTAGCAGCATACTTGTAAAGTTCTGTACGTACGTGTTTAAAGGGATACTAAAGTCAAATAATGATTCATGTCAGAGTGAAAGTTCAATGTATGACACCGTCTAAAACAATAATATTATGAATGGCAGTGCCCTGCCTACCGAGCAATTAAGGTAAATGCACGAGAACACATGCACTTACGCGTAGGACATTCTCAAAATGATCCCGATTACGTCAGAGTTAGCATCTACAATTAGTCACTAGAAATTTAACTAGGTGCACTAAATGAAGAACCTTCCTTGCATTTAGAAACATAATAAAATTCTGCTTGTTCATTTCTCTTTCATTCATGAAAAAAAGAACCGCCGGACATTACTACGGGGAATGGCACGATTGGTTCAAAAGTTCCATTTTAGCCTGGTTAAACTGGACAGGTCCTGTCATCTAGTGAGGCCCATTTGAACCAAACAAGCCTGCCATCTTGAAGGCCATGACAGGAAATTGTTCAATGGTCGTTCGTTGGTGCTGTGGCTCTTGCTACTTTCGCTCTGCTGCTACTAGCGTCGGCTGCCTGCGCAGTAAAACCGGGCAACAGTGCATGACAACAGCGACATGAAAGTTTCCACTTGATGCGGGTAATTCGAAGTGCGTTAACACAATGCAGAGCACTAAAACGTGATTTCATTTTAAAATAAGCACTTTTTGGCACAAAAGCAGCATTACGAGGTTTCTGGACCGCTATTTCAGCAATCAAAATTGACTTAATATTTGCCTTTAGTGTCCCTTTCACAGCTCAGTAACATTTTCATAACAGCAGTGCTTAGTGACAACACAAGCTTATCGACAATGTTTGATGTGTTTCCGGGTGTTTTCAAACGAAGAAACAAAAAAAAACACGGCTCGACCTCAAAGGCAAAGCACTGTTTGGAAACACAGTAACAGCATTGGCATCACGAATGCACTTAGATTATTCATATATGGCTTACCGAAACTAAACAAAGGTGCAAGCTACTAACCTCTGTCAATGGTACGTCCCCAGTAAGCTTCTTGCGGTATCCACTGTGAATGAGCTTTAGGTCCAGCAGGAGGGCAGAATAGGTAGCAAGGTAGATTCCATCAGCATTAACGATCGTGATGTGCTGTGGCGTGCCCTCGAGCTCAGTGCCACTGTGTTGCTGCTGCTGTTGTTGCCACAGGGCTGAACGAAATGCAAAAGGCTATTTTACAAAGGTTTACAGACCATTTGTGATTCACAGGTAAGTGATCCAAGCTCAACAGAAATGTTAAGAACAATAATCAAATGACACCCCATAATTCTGTTTACACACAACAAAATTGAGAATATTTTTATTTACAGTATAGTTTACCAATAAATTAGCCATTAGCATGAAAAAATTACTTGGCATGGTACTCATGGCTTGAAACACAAAAATGTATGGCTATGCAATGCATGAACTTTTGCTTCCAGTGTCTGCGGTTTATGTCACGTTGGTACAATTTGGACTCAAAGCAAACATTTGATTTAGCAGTGAGAATTTGAGTGACATCACGCGATTATCGTGAGCGTAGCAGCCATTATGTTAACAATATGGTGTCACATTTGAATGCGCGGGTACAGTACATATTTCTATCTGTTCAACTAGTGTTTCTTCTTTCTTGTCTTTTTCTGTCACCTTTGTTTTTTCAGACCACCAATTCACTGTTCATTATCAAAAACACATGTCAACAGTTCCCATGAGGAACAAGTTCCATGAAGAAACAAGTTCAATGTCTGTTCAACTTGGGTATGCACCATCAAGTTTAATGGAACACCGCATTGGTTGCAAAGAGACTCAACCCTAAATACGCGCCTAGGCTCCCTGGAAGTTATCATTTTTCAACACTTTGCTTAGGTGCTTTCGATGCTGATTATGACTTCTTGCTGTTCAATAGCCTTATACATCCAAGGATTGTGCTTAGAGTCGGCCACTATGGGACCACTCATGTATTAAGATACACTGGCTAACACACAATGGTTATAATGAAAGGTCAGTAAACGGTTTCACATTTCAATAAGAATCAGAGGTGAAGCAGAAACATGCAAATATGACAGGTCTGTGACATCATGAATGGAAAGAGTTATTTATAAGAAAGTATTATACATACTGAGGTCAAATCCTAGAATAATATTTAATTTTATGAGTACTTTTACAATTCAATAACAGAGTACCTAGCACAAAGTTTGTGCTACCTAGCTCTTAAAAATCTTAGGCACAGGCATATAAACTCAGGCAAAAAATGGAGCAATGACATGTTTGATTCAAGGTTTCCCAGAGGGTACGTGCCTAGCTCTGGTCTTCAGCGAAATTCACATACAAGACATACAAAATATGGGGCAGTATCACGTGTGCTGGTGAAGTCAAAGGTGAGTGCAAATTTGAGATTCCTCCATTATGACAAAATGTTCGTGAAAAGCTTCCTTTGAGACAGTCTGTAACTATGCAGCAACTTGGTAAGAAGTTAACACTGGTAACTGAGGCCAGTGACAGGTAGGCATATTTAGATCATTCCTCAACTCAACAGCGATCATTCATGTATGTACACCAAAGCACTAGATAGTGACATGACAATGAAATGATGATGAAAATTCTAGCTGTTGCAGAGATATCATGTAGAGAAAAAGGTTGCTTAGGTGTGTTCGCATGACATACTTTGCATAAAAGCACCGCAAAAAGACAGAGGACCAGTAAAGGAGTACACGAACGGCAGTGCTGTGAAATGATAGCTTTCACACAGCTTTCAGAGGTCCATAGAGCCCTCCTGTCACAAGATACAACAGATTGAATTCTCATTCAAAAGGAATGTCGGCCCCACTCCAGTAATGCTCCTTTACGAATACAAACTCTCTTAACTCTGAACTTTTGTACTACTGAGCACTAGTATTTTTGTTAAACACCTGGATAAAGAAAGCACTCACTTTCAGCGTAGTCGCTGGCAAACTGCTGCAGCTCCTGATCTGCCTCGATGGAGCTGCGAATGTGCAGAAGGCCTGGCAGAAAGGAAGCCAAGTGATCGACAAAGTCCCTGGCAGTCTTGCGCTCTCGCTCAGCAAACTCATTGTTAGACTCGAAGAACTTTTCCAGCCGGTTTCTCTCGCTTTCGTTGGCGTCCTTCATCAACGTCTTTGCTGCTCTCTCCATGGCTGAAGTTCTTGCCTCAGCCAAGATGTCTGTTTCTTCTTCCAGTGGCTTATCAGCCTACGTGAGAAAAAATAGCATATACAATACAGAAGCACAGTGTTAACACAATTTTCAATTGATTGATTTGTGAGGTTTAACGTCCCAAAACCCCTATATGATTATGAGAGACGCCGTAGTGGAGGGCTCCGGAAATTTCGACTACCTAGGGTTCTTTAACGTACACCCAATATCTGAGCACACAGGCCTACATCATTTACGCCTCCATCGAAAATGCAGCCGCCGCAGCCTGGATTTGATCCCGTGACCTGCAGGTCAGCAGCCGAGTATCTTAGCCACTAGACCACCGCGGCGGGGCATTCCAAACATTCTACCTTGCGGTTTACCAATTGAGAAATGCATAAATATCTCATGAAATTAGCGAGCTTAATTCAGACACCTTACACGATTAGTATTTCCTCACTTTAGTCTTCGTGCTAATACACAAAAAGTGAGGAATTAGCTAACTCTGCAATTTTTTCCAACTAAAAAAGTGACCCTTTACTTAATAGGGCAAAACAAAATAAAACATAATATGGAAATATCTGCATGACTTTCAACAGTTCCTTGTCATAAAAAGTAAACTTCTTTTATCTCCATTAGGCTTAAAGCAAAGGTCAGTCAGAATATTTATTGAGTAAAACATCCTGCAAAAAAAGCTACCGCCACATGACACTTTATAATAGTACACAAGTCGGTGCTACAAACCCAATAAAATTCCTTGACCTGTAAGACCTAATAAGAACATTACAGGAATACACCAAATCAGTACTTATTCAACTAAAAAAAACTGCCACAAGCTTTTGAGAATGAACGGCACTAGGTAGTTTATTTTCGGGCTATACTGGTGTTGTATACGGTTGCACTGTGTTCAATATGAGTTATCAGTTGGAGAGTCGGTGTACTTTTTACACTGCTGTTTTAGTTAAGCAACACTGCTAAAGCCTAAGCAGAGAAACCAATAGGCACTGAGACTTGGAGACACTATAACAAAATTCATTTCACCTGTGCTAGTAAAATACCCTTCCCCAAAACCAACATCACTCCACCAAGCGAAAGCTTCGTTAGCAAGCAAAAGTACAAATAATATCGAAATATTAGCGGCCATGCTGCCTTGAAATTCCAACATCAGCTCGCAATGGAACCTCATTTTTTAAGGAACCTGCTACGGCTTTGTTGACTGTTTATACAAGATATAGAATACAACGGGTTCTAAAGGGGTCAGAGACCGAAGACACCATGTCCAAAACATTTTCACTGAGCAAATGTTGCCTAAAAATAAAAAAATTGAAATCTACTATGTTGTGAAAATGTAGAGGCACCATGGTTCTTACCTTAAATTTAATGTAACCAACTCAATTTATGTAACCAGCCTGTATTTGCAAAAATAACCAAAGTACAGTTTTCAAGGAAACTTTATCAGTATAAACTGATTCAAAGTTTCTCTTGGGTGTCCTTTAAAGTTGCTATAGTGACAAATTATCACTGAATTATGAAAAGTACAAAGGTCCACCGCTCACCAAGTCAGTGTCATAAAGGCTTTCATCTGCAAACTCTGACACTTCATCACCTAGGCTGTATTCCATGTAGCTGCCACTGTGAAGCTCTTCGTCTGGCCAAACTGCGCTCTTCTAAAGAAGATCGCCGCAGGCTCCCTTGCTTCTTTTGCTTCAGCTCTGGCGTACAGCTCTCAGGCATCAAGATGACCTTCTTTCTGCTCGTCAACAACTTCGTGCACGATGGGCGCTTGCTCAGGAGCTTCTACACCACTTCGCACTTCCGATGCTTCCAGAGCTTCTTCCACGAGCGAATGCTTCGACAAATCGTGGATATCTTCAAGATGCACAGTCAGAGCACTGGCTCATTCTCGTCTGGTGTACGACATGAGCTCCTTCAACCACGGGTGCAGGCTCGTTCTCCGTGCTTTTGATGTCCGTCGCTTGCCACCCGTTTCGAAATGCACCTCGAGCTGACTTCTCGTACAGAAATGATGAACCTGCACAAAAAGAAAGAAATGTGAAAAACCACAGTAAAAGGCTGAAAAGACGAGGGAGCTGGGGCATATTTATAGCTGCACATATTCACACAGCGTCAGAGAAAGATCAAAGAAGAAGTAAGGGCAGGACAGCACATGTCCCTTCATTCTCTCTTTTTTGTCCTAATATTGTCGCACTAACAAAAAAAAAAAAGCTTTGAAACGGCAACAACATTCTAGTTGCAAAGATGTAAGAACCATGGCATCATGCAGAAACACTTACATTCCTTAAAAGTAATTCAGGAAAAAAAACAGTTGTGCCCGGCATGTTTCAGTGATAACAGAATTGCACCCATCATATCTCTATCATACATTATAGACATAGACAATCATACCTTGTCCAATGTTGTAAGCATGTGCTTCACTGCCATCGAAAAGCATTTACATTATACTATATTATTCCACCAATACCCTCCCCCAAAGGAGCATAAGTTAATGCGAGGCTGAAGTGGAAAGAGAGGGCAGACAAGGTGCCCATGCACAATTTGGTTAGGAGGTATTCTTCAGGCAACAGAGAGACATCTTAGTGAACTGAAAGAACTTGCATCAAAAGACACCTTGCTAGCCTTCATAGGCTCAAGGCAAAATGAACCATCCACACAAAACATGTCTTGGTAGCAGTGAACCACTTGTTGAGAAGTCGATGTGGAGGTCCATAAGCCTTTCAGCTCACCAGAGAAATGGGAGCCGCCAAACTTGCCTCCCATCACCTGTACCCAGAAAGATTGTTTCTGTGCAGCTGTACTCACCGACATAGTCTGCACACTGTAATGTCGGAAAGGTGGCGTTCAGCCGTTCTGCCATCTGGTCCGAGATTCTGGAGCCCGAAACCAAGGTCTCCAAAGTTGACAGCAGTGCCACAGTGCATTCGACGCTGATGTAGCAGACACTGGGTTCATTGCTGTGGCAGCACTCTCCAAGCCCATCGACAACGCTGCATCGACAATGTTATGACATGATGAAGCAAAAAAGGCAAGGTACAAACAAAGCATCATTTGGGCCTGTTGCCATTCTCATTTGACATCCAAGATAAGGAACTCTGATGCTATGAAAATCCACACTATGTAGTGGGGAGCAGTATTCGCTGCCAAGCAAATATGTATGACCTATATGGGTTCAGTAATGTAATTAAGGCTTACAAAAGCCTGAAGCCCTCAAGTAAGGCCTGTAAAATTTACAAGAGCTAGAAAGCCCTAAGGAAGTACAGGCCTACAATAAGGCCTATGAGGCCCCACAAGAGTATTAAGTTTCAGTTCTGATGGGCACATGGTGCTTACAATTTTTTGACTATTTTCCTTGCCTATGCCACAGATTTGCTGGCTTTTGCTACTTTATGTATATTCATGGCTACTTTTAATGTTTGAGAATTGGCAGTCAAAAGTCTGCTAACAAGATGGTTTAGGTCATTGCTGCACCTTAATTTTTGTAAACTTCTGAAAAGTAATCAACATTAATGAACAATTAAACACCATAAAACTCAAGGCAACACAGTGAGTGTCTACAGAATAGCTTACATTTTCAGCAAGTCTAGGCTGCTCAACTGTGGGTTTTTGGTGTCTTCCCACAGTGGAGGTCCTGCAAACTGCAGCAACTGCTCTGGGTTCTTCAGCATCTGCAAGTGTAGAATATTGCAGAAGGAACAGTAGTAGCAATGCAACAGCTCGGATAAAACCCAGTCGAACCCCTTTATAGGAGACATGCACCAGGGAGCAATTCTTGTGCCTTACGCAGGGTGCCTCTTATAAGCAGTGGCTAAGGCATTCGGCTGCTGACCCGCATGTGGCACTATCAAATCACAGCCGCAGCGGCTGCATTTTCGAAGGAGGCGAAATGCGTGAAGCCCGTGTGCTCAGATTTAAGTGCAGGTTAAAGAACCCCAGGCGGTCTAAATTTCTGGAGACCTCCACTATGGCGTTTCTCATAATCATATGGTGGTTTTGGGACATTAAACTCTACTAGGCTATTATTAGTGTATCTTATAACCAGGGGACTATGTTCTCATTTTCTGATCAACCCCAATTTCGTTGCAGGCACACTGGTGCCTCTTACATCAGTTTGCCTCTTACAAAGAGGATCAATAGTAACCAATATGTACCACAACAAGAGGAAAGATAACATAATCAATAAGCTATACAAAGCCAGTTATGACATGTCCTATGTCTTTGTCTTCACTGCCAGAAGGAAACTGTGTGCATGTAATATTTATTACACTACTCTGAGCGTTTTAACACTATTTTAAGCCAGCCTGCCTTGAGCTAGTTCTAGGCCCACTATGCCAATTCAACTGAAATTCAGACATTGTTATTTTTATTCTCTCCTGAATACTGTCACATACGGTTTTAATGATTCAATAAACACACGAGTACAAGTGTAATAGTCTGTGCTTTTCTTAGGCTGCATTACCGAATACTGTGATCAGGAGTTCAATACCTTTTCTTAAACTGATTCTCCCCCTCAACTGGGTTCTTTTCACATGTTGGTTCAGCGCACCTTCCCCATCACACAAGCTGGTTTCTTGTTATCACAAAACTCAAAGTCAGCATTCATCGAGTCTAGATCATTTGCTCGTTTTTCAAAGCACAGATGGCTTCAAAACACTGACTCACACTACTATATGACCAAGACGAAGTGCAAAAAGAAGTGGCATCAAGACGTGCTCCACCTAAAACCAGGAATTTAAATTACACGTAGAAGTTTATTATGCTTGGCTCACCCCTCTGTGGGAAATGCAGTGGGTCTGCAATATTTCTTTTTGTTGGAGCACCTTCAAGAAAGCTAGGCTGTGCACGCAAAACATACAAACAAGGGCATCTAAAAGAAGCCCGACACACTTGGAAAGTGGGTTCCCGAACTAACACGAGAGCCAGCAGCACAAAGCAAGTGCAGTGTAAAAGGTTGTTTCCGACAAAATCACCTGCTTGACAAACTTGAGCGGCTCGAGACAGTGCTGTGGCAATGGGTACAGCAGCATTCTGTGGAAGAGAGACCCCAACACCGGTCGCAAGGCTCCAACCTCCCCCACGATGGTCACCAGCTCCAGGGCAATGCTGTGAAGTGCAATTAGTACAAAGGAAACTTATAGAATGGCCCAAGCTACAGCAACCATCAGCTACAAATGAACTAAGCTAAATAGTATCAAACTGTTGCATTAGCTACAGAGTAGTGAATGGCTTGGCACCTTAATACAATGCAAGATCAGTAGGGTTACAAGTGAAGAAAGCAACTCTGCACTAAACCGTACTTATATTACTATTCTGTTGTTTTTTGGTTAGTAAATATTGACCAAGTAAGAAGCACGATAGCACAATACTTGACAAAGCACTTTCGATTAGTTGGTGGAGAATTCGTAGCATATGAGCCATTGTCATGAAATCAGGTTAAGACATTACAAACAACACCAAAATTGCCTTGATGTTGACTTATGCTGCTGAAGATGAAGTAGTACTATTCACGTAGGCTGTGAGAGTTGCACTTATATTGGAGACAAGGTAATCTGTAAAAAGTGGAGCTATGCAAGTAGCAATTTTTGGGTGCAAAGTGAATTTGAATATTGAAGTTTGGATGCGAGTTCAATTCAATCAATCAATCAATCAATGAAGCTTTATTTTCATAAATAGATATATGCAATTATGGACCGATAGCCTAAAGTGGCTAGTGGACGGTCCAATACAATGTGCAACATAAAAAAGTGTACAGGTCAGCTCTGAGGTAACAACATAAAAAAAAACAATCATGTGATACAGATAACACAGTAATACATTTTTTCTTGCAGATATGCATACTTATTAGCTTGCAGCTAGTTTCTATACATAGGCACTTATTAAAAAAATACAATGAAAATCGAATCACACACACATGCTTACATGTCTTGACTCCACAGAAAAAATGATTTACATGCCATGCTGAAATTACGTGCCGTTTTAATCTCTAGGGGGACCGTGTTCCATATTTTTGTTCCACTAAACTGTATCAGTCTTTCTCCGTAAACATTAAAACATTTGGGCAGATTGAAATTACCATTCGAAGCATGTCGCGTATTGCGTTTAGGAATTGAAAAAAGATCAGCAGGCAAAGGTGAATTTCTATTAATTATGTTATTTACTGAAACAGCAATTTTGTAGTCACGCAACATCGGAACTGAGAGAATGCGTTGTGATTGGAAAATATTACTTACTGATTCACCTTGGCTTATGATTTTCAGTGTACGCTTTTGAAGTCGTTCAAGAGTTTTTAGATAACTGTTGTACGTCACACCCCACGATTCCAGACAGTAACCTATGTGACAATGACACAATGAAAAGTAGAGTGTGCGGAGTATAGCTTGTGGAAAATATTGGCGAGCTTTTATTAGAGAATAGCAGCCATAGGCTAGCTTTGCGCACACACTTTGTACTTGCTCATGCCAGTGTAAGTGTTCATCAAAAGTGACGCCTAAATATTTAAAACAAGGAACTTGTTGAATAGGAGTGTTGTTTATTGTTAGGTTAAGAGATTCAGCGTCAATATGTTTCCTACGAGAGTGAAACACCATATACTTTGTTTTAGTACAGTTAACAGTCAGCTGATTCCTGGCAAACCATTCCGAAATGTTCGATAAATCGGTCATCGCGTCATTTTGTAAATCTGCTAAGGAGTGTCCTGTGAAAACTAAAACAGTGTCGTCCGCGTACATCAGTGCCCTTGACCTTTGTAGGGATCGCGGGACATCATTAATATAAAGAGAGAACAATATAGGGCCCAAAACTGAACCCTGTGGCACCCCGCATTTAATATAACCGTAGGATGATTTGATGTCACCAATGACTACCTTTTGTTTGCGTGCCGATAGATAACTAGAAAAAAAATCAAGCGAGTTACCTTTTATCCCATAAGAATGCATTTTTTCCAGTAAAATGGAATGACTAATAGCATCAAATGCCTTTCGTATGTCTAAAAATACTGCTATTGCTATGTTGTTTTCATGTAGCGCGGAATTAATATATTGCGTAAGCATCGAAACAGCAGTTGAAGTGGACCTGTTTGCAACAAAGCCGTGTTGCTGGGGACAAAGTACATTCTGTTCACCCAGGAAGCGCCTTAATTGCGACGAAATTAGTTTTTCAAGCGTAGTGTTAATACTACTCAGAACAGATATTGGTCTGTAGCTGTCCGGAAGATTCCGATCACCAGATTTGTACACTGGTATTACTTTGGCGGTCTTAAGTATACTAGGATAAGTTTTAGAGGAAAATGCATGATTAAATATATGGCATAAGGGACCACACAATACATCAATATTCTCCTTTAAAATCCTTGATGATATGGCCTCATGTCCAGCTGCCTTGTTCCCTGGTAACTTATTAATTACTTGTCGGATGTCATCCTCAGTTACATCACATAAATCAAAATTATTGGTAACAGTACAGGGTGCATTTAAATTCTGCATATGAGTAGGGAACTTCCTCGCAAGGCTGAGACCAATATTAGTAAAGTAATCGTTAAAGTTGTCGGCCACTTCACGAGTTGGATTATCAGGTGTAATGCGTTCTTTGCTACCCATGCCAGTGACGTCTTTAACAATTTGCCATATTTTCTTCGTGTTACCATCATTTTTTTTCACTAGGTTGGTATAGTAGCACTTCTTGGATTTTCTTATCATTGCTACTGACTTGTTTCTGTAAAGCTTAAAATTTTGATGGTAGTATTCATTGCTCCTGTTATTTTTCCATTTGTCGTAGTAAAAATCTTTCAGCTTCAAAACCTCAAGTATATTTCTATTTATCCATGGACATATGGCATGGTCATAATTTCGGCGCGAACAGCTACGCGTTGATCGTTCAATGACATCCATAATGCATTTTACAATGTTATCACACTCGACGTCCACGTCTTCATCATAGAGGGCATCAAAATTCGTTCCTTGTAGTAGTTTTTGCACGGAATTATAGTCGACACGTGTTGTTCGTTTAATGGCAGGTATGGCAGGAGCACAAATGTATTTCTGGGGTAAAAATAGAATATTTTTCGAGTACTTCTGGAATATTTCTACAATGCTTTTCAAATAGTTCGAAGTGAAATTGCAGAAAAAAAAAATGTTGGAGAGGATTCGATTCCTGAGCATCTTATGAGACAGCAACATGAAAGTTTCTTCTTGCTAGGTTGATGAAGTACCGCCAAGGTGGTGTTTCGCAGTTGTCTCATCAAGAATGTGGCAATGCAGAGGCCGAATTGTATTTATGTACATGACTTCGTGCAAACAAATGTTGCCGACAGCACTTTACACGTGAAAGGCAAAAAACGCTATTTCTTCCGCCTTTCCTCCTCTTTTAAGTTTTTGTGGAAACTAAAATGATGTGGACCACGGTATGCTCCCTTCAGGTCTGGAGTTCCAAATCTGCCTCACGTTGCTCTCACAATATGTTGAAAATTTTGAAATCTTTAATGCTAGAAATTTACGGCGAATTTTTTTGAATTGCTGCTGAAATTTAAGGTCCAAAACAGATTAAGCCCCCACCTATGCCACATCTATCGTCGCCATGTTAGAACTAGCATATTTTTTTTATTACATATACGACTGTAGTGGAGCCTGAAAAGAAGCTTTGCTGCAACATGAATACGTTCTGAGCGCAAGAGCGTATTAAGCATAAAGGGGCTACTTTCGATTGGATGTTGACTGTATTTGAAAAGTTTGACCGTAGCAGAGCCTGACACTCCGCTTTGCCGCAATACGAAAGTACGATGAGGTGACACATATTAAAAATCTGGGGTAGTCACCCTTAATCAGACATTGACTGTGTTTGCCTTTGGGAGGTTAGAATACTAGTTCTAATAGTAAAATTGTCAGTGCAAATTGAATTGAATAGCAACACTATAAAAAATTTTCAAAATTTCGAATATTTGCACACCTCTAGTAAAAAAACACTTATATGCTCAGTTAAAGGTGCCAATTAACAATTAAAAGAGATTAGGATTAATCTGTTACCCTGCAGAATGGTCCTTCTGCATTACTGCTTTAGGATATTAATGATTATACAATCTTACATTGATCAACAATTAATGACCAACCAATCAACAAATTAAAACTAAAACATGAATATTGTCAAATCCCAGAAGTAAATCTTTGTTTATGCAACTCAGCATTTTCACCATAGAAAGGCACATCAGCTAATCTCAAGCGAAGAGTAATTGACACTATAGTCACTCATAAGTTAAAATCTAATCATAAGTACCAGGCAGTCATGAAGAGACAAGTCTGGTAAAGCTGCACTCACCCATAGACGAGCCTTGCCTCTTCAGCATGATACGAGGGAGCAGTGGTGAGGCAGCCTGAGCCCCTGCCCATTTCACCCTTCTCAAAACGCTGTGCGGACACTATGTTCTTGTCCTTCAGCGGGGAACCAAGGCAGCCCACCAGCCTCGGGCACAACTGCTGCCTGATTGTGGGAAAGCATTGAAAACTCTGCTCAGCCTTATCACAGTACAGGAAAAAGCTTCAATAGAAAGATTTCGTAATCGCTAAGCTGAGTTTTGCAATGTTGCATGAAGTCAAATAATGTCTTTAGGCATACACAGAGGTGTAGGCACGCATAGCTACACATTAAAGAAAGTTTCAATCTACAGGTTAACATTTGAGTGTTACTGCTAAAGCACTACCATTTCAGCATTTGTATTGTGACAGGTTATTTTTATGCAATCACAAACAGTGGAATTACATGCCTTATTTTTTACACTAGCTGAATTAAAATGTGTGAACATTGTATACCATGCTGTAGCTGCCCTGAAATCCGCTCACATCCAGGTTTTGCAGAAAAATCAATCAATCAATCAATCAATCAATTTCATTGTAAAAATACTCATTCCAAGTATGATTTAGCTGAAAGTGCCCAGAATTAGAGTAAATAACCTGTAATGCCACATAATGTATTAAGTCATCCTAGTTTTAACACAATGCCACAAGACATCACTGACCAATGACAGTCGAGTAAGCTCTTATTCGAATGCTTAAATGATGATGATGATGATTTATTTCCCACCTATACAATTGAGCTTGGTGGAAGGTGTGAGACTAAACGCGAGAAACGCTTGACTAAGGTCTCAAACCTTTTACAGTAGGCAGCGACAGTAAACATCATTAAGCTATATATAATTGTGTGCTGCCTAAAGCTAATATAATTAGGCTGAAGTATATTTCGTTCTGTCTCAAGTATGGGCAAAGCCTGAAGTTTTACTGCTTGAACCACTTACCAAACAAAGTCTAAAAAAGGCTGACTTTTCCTAGCCTGGCCTCTAGAGAGCTCAGGCCTGTCTGAATACAGTGCAGCAGCAGTGGAGCCGTTGAGCTAGAGCCATTCCTAAGAGAGAAAAGAAGTCGCAGACAAAGACGTAAGTAAGCCGTGCATGGCGAAACAGTGTATCGAAATGGTACAATAAAGAACGTTTATCACCGTTTGTCCTCTTTCAGCTTCTCGCAGAGAAAAAGAAACAGTGGCACAACTTCATCGAATGGGGAAATGTGGCCTGAAAAAGCAAGCGGACATACTGATGTTACAGGTACGCTATTTTTATGAAGGGGTGAAGAAATACTTAGCAATTAACGAGCCAATGTTAATAATAACAAAAGCAATGTCATATTTCATCTTGACACTATTAATTTTTATTTGTGATGGTATTTCTTTTGAGGTTGTAATTAAACGTATTGCAAACTGTATTTCTGTGTGTACACACCTAGACATACAAGTTACCAATGCTTATTAAACCACCATGAAGAAGAAAACAAAATTGTTAAGCAAGCAGGCAGGACATTGAAAAACATGCAAAAGTTAAAAATGATCTTAATACTCAACGTTAACAGTTGATGACAGTATGATAGATGGCAGTCACTTAGGTGATGTCATTTGAATAAGAGACGCCTTTAAACACTTGCAAAGAGCCAATTTTAAAATCACCCGCATCTCTATTAGGAGCTAAACACATCTCCTTTAGAAAGCTCTGCCTCTACGTCTTTGCTTCTTAAATGGTTGTTTTTCAACTACAGCTACAAAAAAGTATAACCTTTGTGCATCAATTCCGTACCCATGACAGCTCGGCAATAAAAATGTAGGTTTACTTTAGAGCTTAGGTGGCTGTGTTTTGATGAATAAAAGTGGCAAAGTCAGATTAAAACATTTAAAATACTGTACCACTAAAATAAGCACTAAATGTAATATAGTGCCAAACTGCTCAGTAATTAAATGTCATCAACTAAATGAAACAATCAGTGCATGCATGCTGTCTTACTACCATGTTAGACAATTATATATCTTAATGGGAAGATTAATCACTCTAGATGGAAGAGAGAGACATTTACTTATGGTATATTATTATTTCACAGGGCGGAAGGCTCAATGCGAAATTGTGTGAAGGCCATGAACAACGTTGAAAAACAGGGACAACAACAATAACCTTTCAGTGATTTAAGGCCTAATCACCAGCCACAAAGACAGAAATTTACTGTAGAGAATTACAGGGCTGTAATAACATGCAAGGTTAACATTAACTGTGCAAGGACAGTACTTAATTGGGTGCTCTCCATTGCAGATTCTATCATAGCCCCAGTTGAATTTTGAACTCTACAAACAAACAAAACAAATTATTTGATTATATAACAGTGTATTATAGTATACTTAATGAATGCATTTAGCTTATCACCAGATAAGCTAAATGAATGCTTATCTACAGGGCCTTTTCAAAAAACATGCAGGCAGACTATAAGAAAAGCGAACACTGCTGAAGGAAGACAAATACATTCAGACAAACATCTTTACTAAAACTGCTGTCATACTACAAAACATGCAGTTAGGTGGCACGTTAAAGCAAGGGAAGAGAAACAGGCCATGCAGTAAGTGCAGTAGGTGAGAACAAGACTCTTATGCTTGCAAAGCACACAGAATTGTTGAGTATAAGCTACAGAAAGGTGTCCGGAGGTAGGTCGTAATACAACAAGACAGTGAACGCAACAGTAACAGCACGTACCTTCATTATAGGGATCGCATCCTTCGTCCACACTTTTCTGTTTGAAGTGCAGTGTTAGTGAGCAAGTTGCAAAAAGAACATGGTTATGTTAGCGAGGCAGACATCGGACTCCATGCAGTCCAGACACATACACAGCACTTTGCAAGCAGGAAGTCAGTAATTCATATCAGTAATTCATGAAATAACAATGAGACAAGAATAGTCCTGATAATTATTATTAGACATTTGTTTAATGCCAAGGGCCAAGTTGCAAGAAGGCTGCAAGCGAAGATCCCATGCATAGGTATGGTTGGAGTTTGTCAATATACCTTGACCGAAAGATTTCCTCCTATTTTTGGAACTGCTCATTCTTTTATTTTTGAAGTTATTTTTTACACACAAATGCTTTATTACATCCCTCAGAGCTTATTCAAATGACTATTAGCCTGCTTTTTAGGTAACATCTCTATACCAAAAGTGCTATAATCCCTGGTTATTTTTTTATTCCATTTTCTTTTATAAATATGTTTGAATCACTGCATTTGTGAATATAACACCCAAAGCATGGTAGTGGCTTTGACACTATGTGTCAGAACTTACGGTTTGCATTACTGGTTACAAACTGGCACATTCTTGTGTGTGGCAAGTCCAACAAGCTTTTCATAAACCACTAAGCAATAAAACTGATAACTATATCACATATCCAAAATTGCTAGCAAATTTTTCCTTTCAGCCCTAACTTCTGGCTAGAGTTGTTGAGGCAATGAAATGATTCTCGGGTTTAATGCCAGGACATGAAACTGGACATTCATCAGTTGGTTTTTTTTTTTTTGCCACCTCTTGCATTGCACCAAGATTCTACCGAGTTATGTGATCAGTGGCATACATTGCGATAATCGCACACTTCCTACTCAGATCATAATTAGCTCGCTCTGCCATTCAACATGGCTTATGGTACATTCTACTGGTCATTTCCGAGAGCTGCAGAATGCTGGAGAGCACTCTGGCGATGTGCGATCCGCAAACTAGCTCATGAGTGAGCGTCATGTTTGTGCAATTCACCAACTAGCCAAAGAGTGAGCGTCATGTTTGCCTGGTCCAAATTGAGCCCTCTGGATTCATTAGGCTGGTTATCGAAGCGCACCACGCTACAACTCGTAGCCCTTTTAACGCTCTTACTTCGATTTAAGAGCATGACTGATGTCAAATCCCGTGACCCCCACACTTCATCTGTCTGCAATGTATGACGCTGCAATATTTTTCCTCTTCCAGGAATTCAATGCTTCTGGCAAGTGGCCAGGCATTCGGCTCAGAGATGAGTTCCCGGCATTAGATAAAGAGTGAGCCCTGCATTCTAGCAATCTGGGTCAAAGTTCAGTGGCGCCCAGCTGCAAGTACCGTTAGTTAGCCCTTCGTATATAAAACATGCCACTGTCTCACCCTCTCTTCCTCATCTGCTGCTCCTCTGCGGCAGACTCAAAGAGGAAAGACACATAGCCCTGCACGCTTTGGCTGGCCGAGGCCACGGCAGCGGACTTTGGTCCCAGCGGAGCCGTGGCTGTAGATGTTCAGGCACAGCGTCACGATGAGAAGACCTGCATTTTGCGAGAGGCACCAGTTCTGAAGGCAGCAGCACTGCAGGATAACCTGCGAAAGAGCTTTGCGCGTGAGTGAGCGAGCCAAGACACACATGACGACAGCAATGTTCCTTGAAACATTAAAAAATGATGGTGTTGAATCGACCAGGAGTGAGCACCAAGTGTGCTATTAACCCTTTTGCAGTTCAGTTGTCAAGCATCGCCCGACAAAGGTGTGAAGGGGCTTTAATTTTGCTGTTTCTTTTTTCTTTTCTCTACTGCAATTCACGCACATTCTAAGCTTAAATGATGCGCCACAGTCTTGAAGACATGCTGAGCTTTGTTGATTTGATGATTAATTGTTTTTAAACTAGGGTGCAGCACAGTGTTTAGACAAGCTTCTGGAGCCCAGAGCGTTCTGTGCAATGATCACAGAGAAGCATGGCCACTTTCTCACCACGTGCATTTTACGGTGATGTATTAGGTGAAAGCGATGATGGCTTCAGTGAGGAAGAGAATCGCATGCCTCCACCAGATAGTGATGACAGTGTTTTGACAGAAACGATTGGCGAAGTTGACAATGATGGTGGAGGCAGCACACCTTTTGATACTCAAGGAACAGAGAAAGGAACAGAATGCTTCGAGTGGTACCACACGTAGTTCAAATACTGGTAAAAGAGTTGCCTGCAGAATGCAAGAGAAAAATAATTAGGATGCGAGTTTTTCTTGCACACTTGGTGTTTTTCCTTGTGGTGCCAGACAATGGCAAAATAGTTGCAGATTGGAACTGTTGGAAAGTGGATAAATGTTTCTGACCACAAAGGGTTAAGAAGCATATCAGCGAGTTGCTCAATGATGTTGAACCCCTTTATAGGAGACAATTAGCAGTGAGATATTCTTGTATTTTATATGGGCTGCACGTGTGTATTTTCTTATCAACCCCTATTTTAGTGTAGGCACACTGGTCTCTCTTTTACCCATATGTCTCTTACATCGGTGTCTCTCGTGAACCGGTTCAACTGTACTTACAAAAGGTTCGAATACATGAAGAAAGGACAGGAGGGCCTTAGAATCCCAAGTGTCCCTGCCTGTTCTCTTCTTATCTTAAGCGTGATGATGCAAACCTGACCAATGTCTTCAATAAATTTCCAATGAATCAAAATGTTAACAGCCACTCGTTTTTCCATTTCTGGTGCAAGAAGAATCCCACAAAGATCAAAATAGATCATTCATAAACATATTAAAGGCATCAATGATGAACTAACTGGTAGATTCATTTGTTTCTTTAGTGAACAATCAAAAAGGGATTTCATATTCCACAGCTATAAAACTCAATGACTATGAAAGGGCCCCATAATGGAAAGTGCAGATTCATAGTGACCCCCGCGTTCTTCAATGTGCGTATAAACCAAAACACAAAAGTGCTGTGACAACCCTCTACCATCATAATGCGGTTGGGAATAGAACAAGTCAGTGCAAGTTCAATAGTGAGCAGCAGCATAGACGAAGCTACAGGTGCACAGCTGTTAAAAGGAAAAAGTTAACAGTAAAAGTTTGCAATAGGCTTCCCATGTGCGCAAGACTTAATTAAATGACGCCCTAAGCCTGAAGTAGCATCTGTTGGAAATGCAGGGGTATAGTGAACGTCAAGCACTGCAACAAGTGCTGTCATGCATGTACAAGGGAAACTGGCCACACAATCCCCATTGAGTACTTCCACCGCTGCTGCGGCTTGAAGCAGTAGTACACCAATAACATTCAAACTGTTTCTTAATACTGAGAAGCCTATCTTTATGCTTGCCTGCATTGCTTAAGGGGAGATGCTACTCGGAAAATGATTTTTTTTAATAAGAGTCTGAATTGAACACAAATTGGCATGCTGAAAGAGTTTTTTCTCCTCTTTTTAAATATGTAATTTATTTTCATGTAGCTTGTTTGGTTTTATTTCTGCAGCTCTGATACTGCGAAATTATGGCCATTGTTATGCGATAATTCTGACCTATAAAACTTTAAGATAAAGCATGCAGATATAGCTCACTATGATCCTTTGGAACTGTAGAGTGCAGAAAACTACACAAGTTGCATGTGTAAAAAGGTAGAATACAAAAATAAAATGGAAAAATCCACCGTGGCTCTAGTTGCCAAGGGCTTTCCATGTTATGTAATATTTTGAAAAACACAACTAAGCAGCATTGGAAATAAAAATAGATACTTGCACTTTACAGGCCTTCATCATCCTATGTGCAAAATTTCGTAGAGTTCTTACAATTCTAAGTATACTAACTAGCGTGCATAAGCAGCACAGATCACACAATACTGCAAAAGGAGAAAAATGCATTTGAAAGTTAGAAAAATTTTTTTTACCATAGAGTTGTCAGAAATGCATAATCTTTCGCCATAATGTTCAAGAGAACTTTGAGAAGCACTGCAAGTCATTAGAACTGTCCTGCAGCATAGGTTGTGCCTTCACGGTCCTTGCGAGCACACTCTTCGAGCCGTGCCCTTTTTACTCCACGATGACGGTGCGCCCTTGCTTTTGCTGTCAAACGCCCGGACATCCTCTTGAAGCACTTCGCATTGCAGGAATCGCTGAAAGCAACTAGATCCCTAGATGGGAGTATGTTCAGCTCTTTTAGGATGTGCTCGAAACTAGCATGACCTTTATTGAACCACAGGATTGCGATATCTGCGGCAGTCTCGACAACTGATCGGGAGACAAACTTGGTCTTGGCGCAAAGTAGCCATATCTTGCTGTTCAGGGATTCCGACGCATTTTGGGTTTTCCCTTGAATGCATCAAACAAGGAGCTTCTCATCTGTCAGTCGCTTATCAATCGGCAGAACAGCCAATCCCTGGGCTTTCGTCAGAAGAGGTGTGTGGAGTGGTGCAGGTTTGCCAAGTGCTTCAGCCCGTTTATGTTTGCACCACGAGTCTGTTCCTACAGGGCAAAAGTTGTGACTGCCAGCATTGTCTGTAGAGCATAAGTGAAAGTATGAAGCCCATACTGCAGTGTAAATATCCTGTAGACTCTCTCTGTTGCTTGTTATGGCACTGTGGTAATACATTTGGAGCTTCTGAATGACCGGCTTTTTCATTTTCTGCCCTCGTGATAATGGCACGTGAAGCTTCCGTAGCGCAGTGCCAAGTCTTTTGGCCACATGGTTAGTGCAGTCTTCTTTTTTTATATTGAGAGCCCCATAGACTTTTGACTCGGCAACTGCGCTATATGCTTTGCTGTCACCATCACTTAAGAACTTCATGAAACACAATGGAATTTCGTAACTCAACGTTCTCCGCCAAATGCGCATTGCAGCCTCTGTTTCCATGGCATGGGAGGAATAGTCTGCATTTTTTTCACAGACTGGTCCTTGGAATGCCTGCCAAACTTCCTCGTCAGGGCCCCACGTCTTTGTGTCTACTGCATGTCAGGCAGAAATTTGAAATGAACTCAAAGTCCAAGCAGAGGCCAGTGTCTAAGGAGATAGCTGTGCCAATACAGTTGTGGGTTTTGTGGCACCTCTTCTGCCAAGTCCCATCGAACATGACAGCCACACCAGTTTCACCTGCTGCTTCTTTTGTCAGTTGTCTCGATTGGAGCAAGTTTTCACTCACAGCTTCCATGGCAGCGGTGCGCGCTTTTTTGGCTATTGAAAAAAATTCTCGGTGGTGCATTGGCTTTGCGAGTCCAATAATGGAGCAACACTGTCGTCGCACAAACCTCATCGCACAGTCTTTTGTCTTTATCGAAGAAGCCGACCTTTTTTTCGAGGCACTGACGAAAGAAAGCGCAGCGTCGATCTCTTTATCGCAGCCACTGCCGCTCGCACACGTGTCGATGCCGCCGCTAGGCCTAGCACACGTAGGCTGATTCTCTTTCATCGTTGTTGTTTGATGCTCTTTGCGCCGCTTTCCCTTGAACTTGTGCTTCGTTCGGAACTTCCATGGTCTCTCGTTGCACTTTTTCGGGCTTGTCATTGCGGAAATATGCGTAGATGCGCAGATAAGCAGACGGACCAAATGCCGATGACCATTACCGCATCGCTGACACTGACTCGGTAGCCAAGGGCGATGCGGCTGACAGTGCCATTCTTTTCAAACCACGCGGTAAAAAAGCTTTGTTTTTTTATATTTTCTTGCTCACGTACGAAACTGGTGGTCATCAGAGCTGTAAGAAAAAGGCCGAACGCAACTTTCCTAACTGGTCGCTATGCCGGCCGGTGCTGCATCGGGGTGCAGCACGCATTCAAATGTGGCCAATATTAGCGGAAATTTGCGAAATTTAGAGCTACCGCGATGCCTTTATACACATTATTTTGCTTTTTTCTGTTCGACTTTTGTTTTGAAAGTTTCACAGATGATAGAAGAAGGGTTGAGGATTACAATTCAACAAAAACCAAAAATACAAGAAATTTTGCTAAAGATGCGATTTTTCGACTCGCATCTCCTCTTAAGTGAGACAGAATCATCTCGCACCCAAGTTGCAATCTAGCGCCGCTACACTTCTTCGCAATATGTTAAGGGAGGTTCAATGTTTGCGATGTAGGTCCCTCCATAGGCGTAGAGTACTAAAGGGCTGGGGGGTTCCCGCTATTCTAATGTTTTTTTTTATTGCTATCGCTTGACTATCACTACATTACAACATAAATGAAACAAATTATGGCTAATTTTTACACTATTTAAGAATTATATTCAGAATGGTACAAGCTATTGCTGAGAGACGATGTACCCTTGTACATGGGAAGGGCTGCTACCAGGTAACAAGCACATGCAGTTTTCACAGCGAATTTATGTGCCTTTTATAAATGCACCGCTCATCAAGAACTATCACTCGATGCCCAAAATTTCTTAACTGTAAGGTTAAGCTCACCTTCAAGCCTTCAACTTGTGCTTCCTCTGGATGGGAGGCCAGAGACGAGATGGCTCTCATCAGTTGAGATGGCAACCAAAGCTGTTCATCATCACATTCCAGGTTTGGATTGAAGAGCTGTTCTCGAAGTAGTTGCTGAAAGGATCGTGAAGTGATGCGAGCGTCACAAAAAGGTGTGACGTTGTGCAAGGTAAATATGCGAGCCATATGAATGAGCTATGAACTTTCCTCTTTAATTATTACGGGTATTACTCTCTTAACTGGTGCACCACAGCTATTAGCAGCCAAAAAAGCAAGCCATTATTGATAACTCTACATATGTGGGGATAGTGTTTGAACATGATGGTCACAGCTAATGAAGAAGATCATATACAACCAGAGATGTAGCTGTTCTTCCCATACGTCTTACAAAAGACTTCATGAACTTGAAGTACATATAGACTGCAAAGAATTAGCCCTTTCAGTATTAACAAGAAACTAGAAAAAAAATTGAATGAAGTAGTACCAGAATCTGTTGCAGCATAGAACATTTCTCTTAAATGCTGGTTCAAATAGCAAGAAGATAAAAGTACATCTGTTCAAGTGTTCCCCAAGAGTGTTTTTAAAATACCAACACCAAGATGTGTAATACTAATAAGCATCAGCAGGTTTACGAAAGAGATTAAGAAATTTTAACAAGCTATGCTGACTTGAAACAGATGTTTACAAGATTCTCAAAGATTTGGGGGTTTCACATGCGAAAACCAAAATATGAAGAAAAGTCATTCTATGAATGGGGCGGGGGGGGAGAAATCTGGAATAATTTTGAGCACCTGGGAGTGTATAATGTACACCTAATCTCAGTACACAAGTGCTTTTGTGATAGACTCTCACTGAAATGCAGCCTCTGGAATATGGAGTCAAACATGCACTCTTCAGCTTAGCGCAATGCCTTAGTGACAAAGACAGTATTTGACAAAAGCCAACTGATAAGCTAGACTTATTTCATGCATATATACAGATGAACAAAGAAGTTTTGACTGACTATATGCTTTATACAGATGAATAAAGAAATTTTGGTTGACTATATGCTTAACAGATTTCATGGAATGTCATTAAGAACATCGAGATTCTAAACAGTGTGCATAAAGTTGTGCGAGCTGTTTAGCATTAAAAGCAACTAGTTACATGTTTCATGTCTTTCCTTCCCCCTCTCCCCCTTCCCAGAGTAGAGTAGCCTACCAGGGCTCAGCCCTGGTTAACCTCCATGCCTTTCTCCTTATTCTTTCTCTCTCTCTCTTGTAAGACATCTTTCATGAGAACTTAGTGTCTACCCTACAGCAGAGACAAAAGACATTCATGATGACCATTGCACACTGTCTGATATTGATTAACCAGTATAAGGCTACCTCAGTGCCATCACACAGCAGACTCCTTTAACTTTTAAACACAATCAGTGGGTTTCGTATCCCAAGTTCATATAACAGTAACTTTCACAGGCCATCATAAACATGCTCAGAGACACATCATGATATACCGTTCTACGTGTCTGCAAGCTGCTCAAATTTGGGTATGTCAAGTTAAAATAACAAAAAACAAAGAGTGACAAAATGTTCATGGGCATCTAGACTAACCTGATCATGACTTCCAGCAACTTAATGCACCATCAGTAAACAGTTCTTCAGTGCATAAAATATGTAAATGTATAGAAGCCTTAAATAACAGTATATGTCCATGGATATTACAGGCTGTGGTGATTGGTGCACCCCTCTCACCCCTCCCTTCTGGCAAAGTTGGCACAGGCTATGGAAACAAAGCTATGAGTACCCAAAAAACATGTAGTGCATTTGCAGAAAGCAAGTTTAGTAAGCACATGCTCATCATTTTGAACCAACTGAACCTAAAATTATAAATGCAACCAACACAAAAAAAAGTAGACTGACTACTGTAAAGAATATAAGAGCACCCCCCTTTCTTTTAGCATGCAAAATCACTGCTGTTGACAGTGGACAGATTACCAGAGAAGCACAAATGGCGGTAAGCACAATTGACTGCAAACACAACACGATGTCACAGAAGAATAGCCATGTGAACTGGCGGGTCACCCTGCACAGCACGAAAAACATTACCTTGCCCTGTTGAATACTTATGGCCTTTAATGGCTGTTGAGGAGCTAGACATGTTCTGAGTTCGTCGTGTGCACTTGAAGGGAATGAGCCTATACGAGACCCTGAATAACCTTTGCACTGATCTAACAAAGTCTAATATGTAATGATAAAGTGATCCTGTGTATGCCAGTAAGGGTAATTTTTTTTTATTGTAAGAGAAATAGAAAAGCTCACATGGTGCATTTCAATCATGACAAAGGCCCAACCGAACACCATTTTCAATCATGATAGCTTCCTTCCTGAACTTCCACGAATGAGTTAGCTGCTGAGAAATATCGCGATTGATTGTGATTGCAACAGAACCATACAGCACCCATACAAGAATCCTAAACTTAAATCACACTTTCACATGAAGAAATAGCAGAGCTTTTAAAAAATGCGACCCTGTACACCTGTTGAAGAAGTCACAATATTTGGGTCTGCTTAGAAGGGAGGAATTTCATTGCTGTAAAAACTGAGTGTACCCGTCCATTACAGGCAGTAACAATTACATCACATGCTGTTGACATTTCTGAGTGAAAATGCTTTATTAAGGCATTGAGTGTAATTGACCACAGATAAGTTTAAAAGGCCATGTGTTGTGTACGCTATGAAGTGAGCACTAGCGAACCCTCATGTTGTAACAACCACGTGGTAAGCTATATGCATGTCTCGTGAAATGGCACTCTAGCAGCACTGGTGGCATACAACAATCTGCGCGGATGTGAAGAAACCACAGCGCCGCTGCTGTATGGCTGCTGCACGAACACACACTACGTTATGCAAGATTGGCGCGAGTACTGACCTAAATAAGCAACATTTCAGCGACACTATTTGAGCGGCAAGATGCACACACACTAACCTTCAAGCATATCTTCTTTTTGCCCTCGTCAGACAAACATAAGAACGTACCTGTAAGCCACTAAAGGACAGGGAAACAAGCTTCTTTTCTTTGGTTTCCAATGCCAGTTGCAAAGCGTCAAAGCATTTTTGCCTGAAACGAGAACAGCTGTGTCTAGGAACAAGTAACACGCAAAGCAGGAAGGTCAAACTGAAAAGCACAATCGTGTTTACCTGACTTCATATGGCGGGTTCCTCAACAAAGCATGCTTGTTTGCCAAGGCCTCTGCAAATGCAAGAATCAGGTTGATCGACAGCCCACCATCACCTATTACTGCTAACACCAAAGAGATGGGGAAATAGTGGCTAGCAGTTTTGTTGGTTTCGAGCTTCATACCTTGGGCTTCCTGGCATGCTTGGCGTAACGCAGGATGCTTCTGATGTGAAGCTTCCTTCACAAGTTTGTAGAATATGTCTTCCATGCTTATAGCAGACGTTCAGCTGCGTTAGAACTTGCCGAAGCTAACTCAGCGTGCTCGAACTGTAGGTGTAGAGGCGGCATGGGCGCGCACCGCAGTCCACGAAGCAGCCCCAAACACTTGACAACTTGTGAACACAGCTGTCAGGATAGCACGTCAAAGCCTTGACGAAGGGAATCGGTTTTTCGCGCGGTTAAGGGCCGTAGTAAAGGGCGGAAACGTGGAAGTTAGTCTATATGCAGCATTGTTCAAATCAGCACACATGGAAAGGGCAGAGCTGAGTGTTACAGTGGCCGTGAAAATTAAAAAAATGGACCGATCATTCACTCCTCTGCCGGCGACATACGGGAAAAGTGAAACCAAAACAGGAAACGTCTAGCGACACCTACAACTTTCGTAACACAAATCGCTGAGCGGCTGTGCTAGCAGTCGGGAAACCGCATTTAATCAATACGTGAATGAAACATGGCACTTGTGTTAAGCGAAAGTGGCCGGTTTTCTTGAACGATTACGCCAAGATCGCTAGGAGAAGCTCCGAAGAAGCTACTTGTGGTTCAGACCTGCCTGTAGAAGTGTTTTCACCCCCTACGAGACGCTGAACTGTGATCGTGATTCGCTAATGAGGCGACCGGCTTCTAGTTTGCGGATTCTTTTCGGCAGTTGATAACAATTTTTATCGTTTAATTAACGTCAGCGCCTTAGCATGGGAACTCAAGAAAGCTATGTCTTCTTTTGGTTCGTCACCTTCTGTGGCATGTTTACGGCTTTCGTCCCATTCGTCGTCAGAATGGCAAGTACACATCATCGTGTCACTTCGTCGATTCCTGTAGTGTGTACACTAAACTGCGAAATATTAGTACAAGAAGCCTTGCTGATGTTGCCAGGAAGCGTTTGTTGCCAACTGCGTAGCTTACTAATTTCCAAGTTATGATTTTCAGGTGCTTCAGGTGATTTCACAAGAGACCGAGATGGAATCTAACATGCGTCGGCAAGTGTGCGATTTGAGGGCCGAACTCGGAAGCATGAACATAGTCGATGAGTTCGCCAAGTATGCGAAGATACAACGAAAGATTAACAAGATGTCAGAAGAGCTGGCACATCAAGGTAAGCCCTGTTGAGTGCTGTAAGCATGGTCCATGTTTGGGCGTCGTAAACCACCTCGCAGATGTCAGGCTGAATGGGAGTATCTTATGCAGTGGCTATGACCAGGCTGTGCGCGTCGTTAACTAGCTGTTCAGGGGAAATTAGCTGAATGGAAAATAGTCCTGTTCGATTAACTGTTTAGTTTAGTGGCCATTGCATTTAGTCGACGGTCGAACTTGCTTAACACGGGCATCCAAGTACACCTAGTATTTCATGTGATCGTTATGTAAAACATATGTGTTACACTTCACAGTTGCAACTGTCATATGTTTAGCTGCACCATGAACTTAAAAAAAAATAGTATGCCTATTTCGATCAAGACGTGCTTTGGATTGTGGCGTTCATATTTTTGTTGTTGATTTTTTCAGCCAAGCTCAAGTCAATGTACACATTCAAGGTCAGACTGGCAGCCACGGCGCTACTCTATGCACTTGTGGTGAGTGTTCTTTTTTTTTTTTTGCTGTATTTAAGTTTGCCTGAATAGTTAAGGTGTTGCAAGCCATGGAATTCTAGGAACAATACTCAGTTACGTTTACAAACAACATTGTCCTATTAAGGACGCATGATGCAAGTGCATTTCACCAGCCATGTTCCCCACATCATATGCATTCGCTGGACCTTAAGGTTTGGCAAAAGCCGAATAATCTGAAATATATCCTCACCTAAGAACAGGAGGCGAAACATTTAGCTCACGTCAGCTTCCAAAAACTTAGCACATTGCCAAATTGCCATAAAAAACCGCAGTGGAGGAATGTGCTTTGGAGCAACCTTAAAAAGGGTGTAGCTTCAATGTACGCATGATAACGCACTCGTCTCATGGATACAGTTATAATGCAAATTATTTGTCTATAGTTCTAAATGTACCTTTTTTTTCCATACTTTGGCACTTGCCACAAGAATTCTGCGATAGTGTTTGCAGTCACAAACGAGTCATTTTTTGTGGAAGGCCTTTAGTCTACTTTATAAATATGTGGCGGCAATTTCTGTTTTCCAGGGTGTGGCAGTTGCTTACATTGTTTGGAACTACAGGTCGCACCCTGTTGTTGTCTTGCCTGAGGCATGGCTCTCGCCTATTGGTTCACTACTTGCGCCTGCCTCTGGTCCACCAGGTAAGTCACAGATCTGTTCAGCATTAGTCAGAGCTCTTGAAGTCTGTATGCAAATCGCCCTTTTCCCGGTGCCACAATGAATGTGCTCCTGCCCTAGCGAAAAAGTCGCGAAATGCCTCTTGATGTCAGAGGCTTTCTTTGTGGTAAAACTGGTTGTCGTGGCCCCTACCAGTACCCTATTGAATTGGCAGGGAACAGCACAGGAAAATAAAGAAGGCAGATTGCCCCATGCACTCAACATGACAACTTATTGCTGATGCTTTGGAGCTCAGAAGAGCATAGAAAACGGATCTATAAAGTGCAAGCATCTTGCTTGATTGACATTTTTAGTCTCATCATTTTTGGCTGCCGCATTCCAGAGTGCCATGACTGGTTACGAAAGCATGGAACCCGACAAATCCTGATGGGACACGTTAATGTTTTGAAAGCAAGATGCTTGCACAATCTCACCTTTGATATTATAAGCAATTTGCTTGGAGGTATAATTATAACCATCCCTTGCACAAGCTTTGTTAGTCAATTCAATCATTACTCGTTCAGTCCACAAAGCAATGAGATCAACGAATAGGCTCATGTCACCAAAGAAACTTCCTCAGGTTGCAAGATGTTGTTTGATTGTAATCTACGCAGTAGTCATAGCTATTGAAAGATCTTTTTCTCTCCAGAGCAAAGGACTTGAACATAGCACTTAAAAACCATATATACTCTAGTGTCTCTTTCAAACGTCTCATCATGCTTCAAATATATGTCTTGAAATTTTATTCCGGCATTTAGCAAGGATCAATTGAGTTGAATTAGTACTACATAGTATCTAACTCGCATTTCTATTGTAAAGTTATTGCCATTGTGGTCATGAAAACAGCAACATTCACACTTTACTGTGACATTTCTCAGTCGTTGCAGTGGAGAACTATAAAGGTTTGCTCGCAAGCTTGTGCTTGCATTGGTAAAGGACCTCTTGAGAACGCTATAAATGCACAATATTAAAAGTTATTGAGCAAGCTGAAAAAGCTGAATATAAAGTCGTGTTTGTGGTCTTGAAAAAGACTTCCCATTTCCTTGAGCAACAGTGTAAAATGACTCGACAAGTTCGAAATGTTGACAATTTCAGATACACCAATAGGACAAATGTAGAAGCAGCAGTGAACCATTGAATAGTGCGATCACAGCTTTTAGGCATATCGTCAAGCAGTTCAGGCGTCACATGTTTCATGAATAGTATTCAAACTCCATACAGTCCTTCAAATAACAGTACACACAGCTGGCTTGCTTAGCATTGAATACCACAGATGTCTTTAATGGGCAAGATTATTTGATCTGAGAGGCCATTGTTTGCAAACACTGTGGTGCTTGTTGCAAGAGAATCCAAGGTTCTTTTGAACTACTAAAGTGCATCAAAAAGAAAATTACTATGCTCTCATTCTAGTTGCCGTTCGGATATAGTTAACCAGAAAACATTGTATAGAATTCCTACAGCAATGTAGCTGTGTGCATAGTTAAATGCCAGAAACCCACTAGGAACCAGTGGTGACATTTATTGATTTAATGCATGGACACCACCCATAACAAACCATAAATCTATCTCTTTAATTGATGGGTAGACATTGCAATGGGGTAAATACACGTTCACTGCATGGTTTCATGATTCAGGTTCTTTATCTAACTATCAGTTATGTTTAACACTTGACTAGCTTCTGGTGAAAGGGAGGCCTGCTGCAGGAGCTTAATGCATAAGTCAAGCAAATTCAGGCACAACAAAAAAGAACAAGGCTACACAAACAAGTTGGTTTTTTTTAGTTAAAGCATAGCAAGAATTTAAAAATTACTGGGTAGCATTGTCACTGCCATGGCACCCCAGATAATTAAAAGTGTTTATTATTTAGCAGCCTGTGAACTGCCTAGATATCTAAACTCATTCCGTGCACATGTAGATGTATGTTAACTCTTGTAATGTGGGCTAATCTTTGTATATCCGCAAGCAAGCTGCCAGAAATGTATGCTTAATTTGTGATTGAACATTTTTATAAAGACGCGAGAGGCCCGAGTCGCGCAAGCAGTGCACTCGCGGGCCGTGATGTAATAAGATGCTTGCTGTCAAGCAAGTGCTTTCCGGTGATCAATTTTTTTCCATGATAACATGCACGTGCACTCGAGTCATTTCGGCTTTCAGCAGTTTGGTATGGAGATTGAATTATTTGCAGTAGCACAGACTTGTGTAGAAGACGACGACTCTGCTCACGCAACACGTGATGTCACACACGTCATGACAAAATGACAGTCGCCGGCAGTGGGCAGTGCTTATAGCTGCAGACTTCTGGTATTCATTTTGTACTGGTATATTCTTGTACAGTGCCTTTTTTTCGTATATGTATAGGCACAACAGACCCTCTACTTCAATTTTTTGGTGAGTGAGTCGAGGCCTTTTTAACCTGATTGCTTTTTACAAAATGGACCCCAAAAATCTTACTGCCGCGCATTTCCTCAAGAATGAAAAAATTGTTTTCTATATTCACTTGTAAACTGTGTGACCACCACATTTTTGTATTATTCATATTTGATTTAAAAAATTTCGTTGTATGAGCATTCCTGCTCCAGCATGATATGCAAAGCGCATCAAAGCATGACTTGCAAAGCACGGCAATTCAACGCGAAAGTTTAATTTACATAAAAGAGAGAAGCTTGCCTTAGGCAGACCAATGCTATTTATTGAGAAACTGAGCACCAATTACACTGTGGAAAATGCTACAGTGGACTATGAGCATTCGATGTTAGGCAATGTCTGGTGCAAGTCTGAGAATGCATCTCTAGAGCTGTGTTTGGCATTTTATATTTCAGGTGGGATCGGGCTCACACCTTGGCTCCTAGTGTCAAGTTCAGTTGGGCGACAGATCGCAAAGCACCTATAGTTCATCTGGCATCATCATTGGCTGTAGAAATTAGACTACATCCATTCCCGATTTTTCACTTAACTTGTACACATTGTTATGGGATGGGGGAACCTGGCATAAAATTGTTGTGTGGTGTGTGCATGTGTGTTTTATTATACCATGAATAAAACCCTCCCTTTATTGAAAGGCCTTCCTTTTAGTGTAGTATTGTGCAACTAACTCTTCACCCACCGAAAAAGCTAATAGGCTACTTATGAACCATGCAGCCAAACTTGTTTCAGAAAGATCAGTGAAAATGGTGGTTCATGTGACCAGCATTTTGTGATGTCACTTGATTGCAACAACACACTTAAAGTTGGAAACCATTTCGTTTCTGTTCCAGAGATTTACTCTACAGTAACAAAAAAAGGGCCTGCAACACTTTTTTTTTATGCAGACAGAAAATTCTGCCAATCTATATGTCAGGCTCCTGTGAATATGTGAAACCAATATTATCCTTTGTGTTTCAACAACAAAAATCTTATTGTCTCTTTGCCAGTGTCCTAATCAGGTAGGAACAAGCAGGCCTGACAGGTATCTTCCTATTTTTAATTTACAGTTCATCAGTGGAGGATCGTGATTGCCTTGAGTTAATGCCATGTTCATTCGAACTAGAAGTAGCAATCAGTGCAGCCAAAGAAAAAGAATCGCTTTCAGCAAAGAACATAGTCTGGGAAGTAGTACTGCAAGATGAAGCTGTGATATACACATGAACGTGTCTGCGCCTTTCACCTGCTGGAAATATGGCCATTCTTGATAGTGACTGAACAGTGACCGACTCAAGTGCATATCGGCAATTCTCCATCTTGATTCTCCCTCTGAAGTGACAATCACTGTCACTGTATAAGAATAGTAATACTTTCAGCATTGTGATCTGTGGCATATGCCAAACATGGAGGATAGACCAGTAGTGATGCTTGATCAGGAAATTGCATAAGTCATACAACCATAATAACACGATAGCGTTAAAGAGCTCGTTTCGCAGAAGTTCCGGCATCGGTGTTTGCGTCCGTGTCGTTGGTCGTGAGTGAAAAATCATCTTTGCGTGACCAAAAAATCGAGGTAGATGCAAGTAAAAAAAATCCTGAGTGCCACTGGGGATCGAGCACGGATCGTTATATACAAATTAAGTGGCAAGGTGCTGACAATACAAGGTGCGGCACACAAAACTTGACGGTGGATCACAACCAAAGTACTTAGTTTATAGTCATTCAACATGCAAGATAAATGTACATCTCGAGAAGCCGCTCCTGTCTACTTTATCGTAAAGAAAACATGATTGCTTATCAGTAGCAGTTATTCTCAGTTTGTGGTGTAAGACAGCATGCAGCGTATATGCGCAAACAAAGCGCCTCATCAAGGTACAATACCACAATCCTGCCAAACGTTGTTTTCTGCTCATCAGTAATTGGGTGAATAGGTACTGCAAAGAATTCCTTGCAGAGTGGCTCGCCATTGCAGACAGCAGACGTTTAGAGCTGAAAGGTAGTTTGAATTTGTTAAGAGAGCACAATGCTTGATACTAAATGTCCACTTAAACCGCGTTGTCTCCGTAATCAAGCCGCAGAAGCACGATGTCGATTACGGCAGGCCTGAAGGCGGGCGAAATCGCAGAACGAGTATTGTCTGTTTTTGCGCGAAGATGACTGGATACTGTTACAGCTGTATGAACCCAGCACGTGCACTCGAACTGTTCCCAAGAGTTGTGAGTGCGACCACACTGTGGCGCCCTCAACTCTTCTTTCTTTTATCATTCTTCGTCATCGGGATCACTGGTGGCCACCATGTGAAAGATCTCATTTCTCGTCAGCTTCCGGAAGGATCCCTTCGTGGATGACCTTCTGGACGAAGATTGCGGGTCAACTTCTCCGGGCGCTGGAACTCGCCGTCTGTCGGCAAGGAAGCGCTTCTCTCGCCCGTAGAGGTTCCCGAGCCGACCGCTGAGGAGGAACACGACGAAGTTGAGGCCCACGCCGACCATGAGCAGAATGAAGGTCGTTCCGTGCAGCGAGTAGTTAAACGTGCGTTGGTCATAAACCCAGCAGTTGCCGCGCTGACCACAGCTTTCCTCCCAGACGACGCATGTTGAGTCCACCAGTGAGCCGTACACCAGAGGATAGGGCAGGAACGCTAAATATAAGTAAAGAACGATAAAACTGTGAGCCCGGACCAGGGGCGTAAGCAGAATTTTTTTTTTGGGGGGGGGGGGGGGCACCTACTTGATATTGGGGCGCGCACCCCATTGTAATGCTTGTAAGTTAATTTTGTTATTGACAGGTTTCTTCGCTGGTGGTTCATTCAGTGCCAGGATTGGCTTAAGAATGCTCTTTCGAACAATTTTGATGTAAAATGGGCTTCAGCAAATACAGATGACGTTTTGCAATAATTCATTTTCCATGTATTAGGCTTTTGCTTTCCAGTTCTTATAAATGCTAATTAATACTTAAACCGCGACGATGAACAATAAACTACTACATAGTTGATTCATGCCAATAAAGTTGAAGAGTTTCATCTCCGACAACTTACAGAACAATGCCAGAACTCCTTCCGCAAAGCCGAGAGCGAATGCCTTGTCACACGGATCGACGCACCTGGATAAACGAAAGGTGAAGAGTTATAGCATTCCTATTTTAGGTGCTGAAGGAAACAGCGTGAATGGCGGGAACAAGCGAGCAGTTAATCCTGGGCTTTGCTCGTCCAATGTTCAGCAATATCCACTTTAACATAGCTGTCACAAAATATAACTCAGACACAAACCATATCGAGATACAAATTACTTGCAATGGTACAGACTGGTGGGCTAACTGGTGCTGCAAAACTTTATTCTGTATAGCGCTATCGAGGACGCGAAATGCCAGAGCGGATATACGTCTTCGTCTCTCATATTCTGTCATCCCGATCGGCCGTTTGCACAAGCGGCCACAAGTTCTGTAATATTAGAAATGCTAAATTTTTTGAACACCATGTGGCGATTGCATAACAGAAACATTTATTTCCATATTATCTTTTTTTTTTGTGAAAGCGTTGAGGGATAACCAACAGTACTACATTTAGTTCGATCGTTATTCCTATCAGAGTAAAAATTTAACGATTTAGTGACTTCACAGCAGAAAACGTTATTGAATTAATGGTGTAAGTTTCGTGGCATTCTGTCTAACGAGACAAACAACAGTTACGTAACTTTTGTATGCGATAAGAATATATCGCTATACATGCAGTGTTAATACATCAAGCGAATGACAGTCAATGCACTAAGAAGCTGTTTCCTTTCCTTAGAATATCACGTTTATGCAACAAAATTTGTTTTATTATCAACGCTGGATTAAAATTGTAGTATATCATTAAAAGAAGAAACATGTTTCACCTGAGCGGAATGACTATCTGAGCAGCCTTTGTGCTGAATGAGAACCCATAGGCGATGCACAGCAGCAGGATGTAAAAGGCCAGGAACGGACAGTCGCTCTTACAGAATCCATCCCTTGCTCTTCGGGCCAATCCGTCATTGTCGAATGCGTCGACGCACATACAGTTGTCGTAAGTCTACAACACAAGCATATGAAATAACCGCCCTGTCAGATGTCCATCAACAAGTACTACGGCTATTTAAAATTAAGCCAGTCAGCTTTTTTTTTCTTCATTAGTTATGAATGCCGGACATTTGGCGATTGTTGTTTCGTGACAAAGCAGCTTGAAGCCACGCGAAACCAGAACGAACGTAACGTATGATTACTAGGCAAAATCATGTCATAGCCACAATTGCCATGCTCGCTGAAGCGTCATGCGTTGCAGCTTTCATAGACACTAGCGCCAGAGTTCCCGCTAGTGTATATTTAGGAAACTTTATGGTGCAACCACTAGGCTGTCGGTACTCACCCCTCTCTGCGCGGTGCCGTTTGTTCCCTTGGTGAAACATCCGGCGAAACAAGGAGAAAAATAAGTTGTTTTGCCTTCGCATATTGGATGAAACACCTCAGTCGCACACGAACAGTTCTGGTTGCAACTGTTTACAAGATCCAACCTGAAAAGAAAAAAAAAACATCACAGAATATTCATGGAGTGAATGATGATGAGTGGGGCGAAGTTGCAGTCCGTCCATCTGTCCGTCCGTCTGTGCATGCGTCCATGCGTCAGATCGCGTTCGAGAATGCAGATGGCGCGCGGGTAACACCGACGAGACGTGAGCCAAGGAAGCCGAGCGCAAGCGTCTTCAACGCGCCCGCCGATCTGCTTCGTCCATGCCCCACCTACGTTCCGCCACGTACGGCGGCTATTCCAGGAAACTGCGAGAAACACTCATTCTCCGCGTACCCAGGCACAGCCCGCGCAGCAGCCAATCGGAGAGTAGCGGTACAGCGCCATCTAGAATATCTTCACTCAACAGCTGTTTGTATATATGTACTTCTATAAGACAGCGCCGTATATTATACTGTTCGGGAGATACTGCCTTCTTTTCTTTCTCGTCTCTTCTTCTCTCGGTTATGCGGGACGCATGACAAGCTTACACTAAGAGCCTCGCCCCTGAGAAACACGTTCTTTGACCATTCTCAAAGGAGAATTCGTGATTTTTCTGTTCGTCGCGCTTTCATTGCTACGGCTGTCAGTGCTTCTTTTGGAAGGTCCTTCCTATTGTTTAGTGGCAAATGCGTAGCAGTATTTGAATGGCACGATCTCAAAGATTTTCTTTAGCCAGAAGTCGTTTTTAAAGAATAAAATCAAAACTTAGTTTGTTTGTTTTTTGTTTTGCTGAACATTTTTAGGCAGGCGGCTAGAAAATCTATTTCGTATAATGAGCGTTACTCTAATACATAACCAGATTAAGCAGCGAGGCTTTTCAAGATGATTCTATATAGCTGTACTCTGTGACGTTCGGCTCCATGCACCCTGCGTAGGTGACGTTACTGCCTGTTTTCTAAACACTGTCGATGCGGCCTCATCAAGTGTTAGGCGCACAGTACGGCTTTCAGCTCTCCCATAGTAGAGTACCAAGTACTCTAAATCATTAACCACTTTTTCTAAACTGACATGCTAATTCAGTATAGACTGGGACGGCTTTCTGTTCTGCCATAGTATAGTATAAAAGTACCCTAAATTATTAAACACTCTATCTAAACACACAGCCGCATATGTGGGAACGTGATACGGAAAATGTGCCAAATGTGCTCGGTACATGCTCGAGTACGCAGTGTGGTAGCACCAGTTGCCAAATGATCTAACTGTATGTGTATAATGACGTTTTCAGTGCTGAACCGCTTAGCACTTATATGTCGAGCTTGTCGTCCGTATAGTTCTCATACGGCGTGATCACGCACAAGGAAGTGGTAAACACAGGATAGAAACCAGGTATGCAATGATCGAAACCGGATTAAAATGAAGAAAGCCAAAAATATAATAATGAACAAAAATTACGCCATATCCACGAAGCGAATGATAATGAAGGAGCCTATTCCGGTGGTTAAATTTGGTGAACCGTGAATCGTCCGTACATCCACTCGACCATATACCAAGACGTGCACTACTATCAGGGGCAGCAGTGGTTCTAGGACGTCAAACTTCGACAATAATATTATAGTGAAAGTACAGTGCCTAGTATATTCTAAACACCACATTGAAAGCTTGTTGCAGCGCCTCCCCCTACCCCCCACACACTACGCGAAAATCGGTGGATTCGACTAGAAGCCGCAAGCACGCCGTGCCTTGTAATGGTGTCAACTATGAGCGCGCCAGTGGACGCCGATCGCATCGGTTGTGTCTTGCATTGAAATTCGCGTTTCGCTTAGCGTATAGATTCGCTTGCCCAGCGTGTCCTCTCATGCAAGAAGAGTGACGCTCGCATCGCGTTCCATTCTGACCCTGTCATTTTCTGTACAAGGAGCGGGGCTACAATGGCAGGATATATGGACAAGATTTGAGCATAAAGAGCAAGCTTCCAAATTAAGTAAGAATAGATATTTTAATAATTTAAAACGCTTCAAGAAAGTGCGGGTGACTCCCGCGCCGCGCAAGAGAGGGTGCCACCGCCTCGCCAAGTACGCTATTGCTCCTCCCGCCACCGCATAGGATTCGCTCGCAGGATTTCAAGCTGGACGGTTGTGCCCTCGCGATCTCCGACTTCAGCGTAGCTCCCGCCGACTGGTTCGCCCTCCGCGGTCTCCGGACGCCGTGCAGCTCTCGCATTGTGGCACCCCGCCCTTGGACTGCTTCGACCAGATCCCCACTTTCCTATCTCCTTCTTTTTTCCTCTCGTTGGCTGTCTTCTTCTCCGTCTATTTTCCTTCTATTCTTTTTATCCCTCCTTCCCCCCAACCCTATAAGGCACTGCGCCGTGTCGCCTGAAGGCAGACAGAAATTAGGTGCCTTTTCCCTCTTCATTCTAACCACTACCACCACCACCGCATAGGCACTGCACCGTGCTCCCGACCGGGTTGCAGAAATTAGGTGCCTTTTCTCACCTTCTAACCACTATCACAGGAAGTCAATGAAGCGTAGCAAAAAGTAGCGCGGGTGTCGCACAGCGAGTTGGCTAGTCTCTCCTATAAGGTTGTACTCGTGCCGGGAAACCTTGCGTGCTTACCTCAAACATTGACGTCATCGACGGTTCGGTAAACGGAACAGCGGAAACTCCATGAACGGGGATCGCTGCGCATCCTTGCAACGTGCACTTTTCGAGGTTTCGCAGTTGTGTAGTTTCATTTTAGCGCAGGAATTAGAACTACACCAATCTACATGCATGGATTTCAAGCTGGACGGTTGTGCCCTCGCGATCTCCGACTTCAGCGTAGCTCCCGCCGACTGGTTCGCCCTCCGCGGTCTCCGGACGCCGTGCAGCTCTCGCATTGTGGCACCCCGCCCTTGGACTGCTTCGACCAGATCCCCACTTTCCTATCTCCTTCTTTTTTCCTCTCGTTGGCTGTCTTCTTCTCCGTCTATTTTCCTTCTATTCTTTTTATCCCTCCTTCCCCCCAACCCTATAAGGCACTGCGCCGTGTCGCCTGAAGGCAGACAGAAATTAGGTGCCTTTTCCCTCTTCATTCTAACCACTACCACCACCACCGCATAGGCACTGCACCGTGCTCCCGACCGGGTTGCAGAAATTAGGTGCCTTTTCTCACCTTCTAACCACTATCACAGGAAGTCAATGAAGCGTAGCAAAAAGTAGCGCGGGTGTCGCACAGCGAGTTGGCTAGTCTCTCCTATAAGGTTGTACTCGTGCCGGGAAACCTTGCGTGCTTACCTCAAACATTGACGTCATCGACGGTTCGGTAAACGGAACAGCGGAAACTCCATGAACGGGGATCGCTGCGCATCCTTGCAACGTGCACTTTTCGAGGTTTCGCAGTTGTGTAGTTTCATTTTAGCGCAGGAATTAGAACTACACCAATCTACATGCATGGATTTTTTTTTTTCACTGGGACAGATGGAGCTCCAAAACTCTAGAGTGACTGATCATTTTGCACCAAGCAGGATCTGCCAATAGAAACGCTTCTTGTGACGAAAGAAGAGCGACTTTCGTCGGGGGCATTCAAAGCTATTTTGTGCGTTTTGGGGACTACGGGTCTATGCGAACGCCTCTGACTATACCGAGACGCGTTAGCACATTTACTCTCCTTTCTTTCTCTTCTCTCTCATCTTTTTTTATTATACTCCCCTATCCCGTTTCCCCAATACTAAGCGGGCATGTCCTGGTTAACTTCCCTGCTTTCCCTTCTGTTTTTCTTCCTTCCTTCCCCTTCGTGAGATCATGCTGGAAGTTCTTTATGTACACGCCACATAAGCTGGTTTATGAATTTTCCCAGCTTCCGTTCTGTATGTTATGGCACCCGTGGTCACTGCAAAGCTCGATTACTGTTGCTCGCAAACTGACGGAAAAGGACTATGCCACTCGTTTCATTTCGGACCTAATGTCTTGGTGGCTGAGAAAATGAGGGTGATCCAGCGCGGAGCGAGTTGCTCTGAAACCATATTAGTCGGACGCACGAACGCACTCCGTTTCGACCAGCGAAGAATGAACTCGCCGCCGCGGAGCAAGAAATTCTGCTCTTGATCTATCAGTGAAAAACGCCATAAACTTCATCTGTTTACTCGCCACAATGGTCTTGCGGTTATGTTCTTTGGCTGCTTACTCGAAGGTCATGGGTCAAAGCCCAGCTGCGGAGTCCACATTTTCGGTGCAGTAGAAAAGACTTGAGGCCCGTTTGCTTAGCTGCACGTTAAAGAGCCGCAGCAGGTCGACGTTTCCTGGGCCCTTGAAAACTGCCTGCCCCGATCATATCCTCGTTTCGGGACTGTAAACTCTACCACTTACTATATTACGAAGTTTCGTCAATTTTCCTACGACCAACTACGGACTAGTGGTACATTCGTCTGGAAACCACCACGTTGTAACTCAGATTGCTATGATGTGGAGTGTCTTTGTCCGAGCCAAAGAGCAATCGCTAGCGTAGGGGTGGCCATTTTGGGAGTCCACGTGTTTGCGAAACACGCGCATAAAGCTCGTGGCGCGAGCTGTGTCCGAGATGCGTGCGGCAACTTGAATGTCTAAAGACCTCCGGGACACCTTCTGCACGCCGAAGCACGGACAGCAGGACGGCACGTACGGACGCACCTTCAAATTGGCGCGGCGATGGTGTTGCCTCCTTGCGAATCAAGGCACCGTGCATACCCCCTTGCAAACATAGGAGGCGTGGGAGTCACGTGATCAGATAGTAGACAAGCTCTAAATAGAATTAAGAAGCAGGTATTCCAATGCCAGCAAACAGACGCTACACGTACATCTGCTATGTGGTATTGAGTTCCTGATAATCACGAAGCTTCTCGAAATTACGCACGGCAAGTGTTACCTTGATCTGAGTTCGCCCTTTTCTCTCAATGGCGGCTGAGGGCAGCTGAAAGCCATGAGCGAGATGAATATCAGCGCTGTTATCAGCTCCGTTGCAAAGATGATGGCCGTAAGTATACGAGCAGAAGGCCGGAACGTCTTCATCAAGAATGCACCACCGAGCGTGGCAAACATGGCGCATCCTATTGGAAATGTACCTGCATTGGAAAACAAGACATGAGGAGGAGGAAGTAAATAGGAAAGGAACTTAGGCGGGGTGGTTGACCAGAAAGTCTTCTGGTTGGCTACCCTACACTGAGGGATTAGGGAAAAGTGATAGAAGGACTTGAAAGAGAGATATTTCAAAATGAAGTATCATGGTATTCCAGTACAGACACTACTTAGGTACGATGTATATACACAATTATGGTGAATGACATTGAATCCAGTTTATTTCAAAATTGCATGATGTTCATTTATAAGTTGGGCACCATTTGCTGGCCCACGCATGTATGCATAATTTTCATGTGATGCAATGCAGTACTGCTGTGCGACGCAATGAAGGACTCTGCTAAGACATGCTGTCGTGAGTTTACACAAAATAAGTGCGACATTCTGCGCTCCATGTAATGTTATAGCGACTTTTTATGAAATGAAGCCTGGTTGGTGGTGACGAAACGTACTGGACCCGTGCTCACAAATACGTGTTGCGCTAAGAATTTTCGGGGAGAATATTTCAGCCGAACATGATGCGGCACATATGAATGGCGAAGCCGGCTGACCGACCGGAAAACTCCGCTTACGAAAAATAAGTATTATGAATTCGGAAAGGCATACTTCACCTTCTCACTAGTGACAGGAAAAGAATAGGCTCGAGCAACTTCGGACTACCTTTGAAAATTTCACCTCCTTGTTTTGCTGCCAGAGGTAGCGGTAACACGCGAATGTTAGATTCGTCTACGTGGAACAGGCAAAGGTTATGACCACTTGCTCCTTACCGCTTAAAACTGAGGCAGCGCTCGGAGACTGCTGAAAATGCTCTTGCACGTATTTGGGCACGTATGTACAAAATCCCAGGACACCGAACCACTTGAACACGTGGGCGCACATCTGTGCGACGAATATCGGGTTCTTGATGAGACGCTTTGAAGCCTCGAATGCTTCTGCAGAAGGAAAAGCAAACAAATAATAGCAATGAGAGTCACATTCGGTATAATAGCCGTACTTCGAAAGACAAGATTATCGACGCTGAGGTGAATCAGAATGAAACACACAAGGAAATATGTGTTCGGAACACAGCACTAACTCTGGTTGCTGGGTTGGCTGGCTGGCCCTGAGGGATCGGTTATAAATCGGACGGTAAATTAATTAGGAAATATAGAGCCTTATTAAATATACGAATTTGTAATTAAACAGTTCGTCATCAACTCGTTAGTTGCTACTCCACAGCAACCACCACCACCAAAAATTGGATAAAAATGTCGTTCTCGTTTATCGGTTAGCGCAGTCGCATATACTGCGCTAAATGCAGCTCCTGCTCTGTGACACATGAGGAGGCGTGTAGCACGGGCGCCCAGCGGTTCCCGTTCGTAGAGTTTTCACTACTCCGTTTACCAAACCACCAATGACGTCTCTGTAGACAGGATCTTTTAAGCAAGATTTGCCGATTCGGTGTGCGACATGTGCACAACTTTTTTGCTGCACTTTATCGATTCCCTGCTTGTTACAGCATGCTGCAGTTTAGATACGTGTCATTTGCAGCGAGTTTTGTCACGCAGATTTACCCCTTCAGGTGTAGCAACGAAACCACCACAGAAGTCGCTGGCTGGGGAATGTAGTCGTGGGATTCACTAAAGTCCCTCTATCTACACACACACACACACACACACACACACACACACACACACACACACACACACACACACATATATATATATATATATATATATATATATATATATATATATATATATATATATATATATATATATATATATATATATATATAATATATATATATATATATAGAGAGAGAGAGAGAGAGAGAGACCTTAGGCTTCGCGAGGTGGGGGCGCCCTCTCTCGCGCAGTGCGAGCGTCAGTGACGCTTTCTCCAAAGTGTTTAAAGCGATTTTAGCGCGACATGGTTAAAGAGCTCGTGGCGCGAAAAAATCCGCCGCCGGCGTCGGCCCCGTCGGTTGTGAGCAAAAAATCGTCTGTGCGTCTGCGACCGAAAAATCAAGTTACCGAGATAGCCGCGGGAGGCCGCTACCGTCCACGCGTGCGCGCGTGGTCAGACTGAAAACGCCGCGCATTCGAAGAAAAAAAAAGTGTTCAAGGTCACGAGGCATGGTAGTTTTTTACCCTGCCACCCCTCCCTATTTAGCTTGCAGCGCTTTCGTCGGGACGAGACAAGAGATAATGCAATTGCAGCATGCGACAAACCTTTGTAACTCCACTCGCACTGAACGGATTCTTAAATTTTTTGCGGCGTTGAATTCGTGAGGCAATACGCTCTTCTAGTGAATTCATTTCATGCTTACTTTTAAGTTAATTAGTGGTATGGCGTCTTGCATATTTCTGTTAATTATATTTTGTGAAATGGTGGTTTATTTTATCCTGGTTTTGAGCCTTGCTAGCCTTGTTTGATTGTATTGACCACTTGATTTTGAGCGTGACCCTGCGAAATGGGACACCGGACGACATGCTGTGTGCTAAAAACCTTCATCATGATAATCAACCTGACTACGTCCACTGCATGGTGGTCCACTGCGAGGCAAAGACCTCTCTCATGTTCCGCGAATCAACCCAGCGCCAAAAGTACTACGCACGTAAAATAAGTCATGTTATTATAACAACACACATTGATCGAAAAGGAAGCCTAAACTACTGGAAGGGCACATAATGACATTTTCGCCTAAAGAAAGACTGATGACAGGAGATACCCCTTATGCTCATGTCCTTTTCTTCTTCGGTCGGCCTGTCAGATTCGTCATCAGCCAACCGCTTGGGAAAGAAGAAGAGCGGCACGGCAAATATCAGCTGGAGGAAGCCCAGAATGACGAATCCCAGCCACCAGGCCCCTATCCAGCGTGGATCTTCGTCGGCAAATCCTGGGTTGTCTGATTTGGTGAATACGTAGAGAGGAATGGGATGGGTCAATGGTTTATCACTGTATGTGCTTCAAATACGTTAGGAACGTCTGCTGGGGCCACAAGTGACATCGATTAGGATTTCAACGTATGCCTAACCCTGGAGAAGCTTAAAAATAACACGGAAATTAATAAATAAATAAATACAAAAATAAATAAATAAAATTGAGGTAATAAGGAAAGAAGATAGGAGGAAAGGAAGAACGTGCTATCGAGTTTGTGAAAAGCTATGAGAATTGTGACTCATTAGCAATAAATATACAGCAAATGAAATAATCCTTAGCGTTAAAAAATACGGATGCGACACACTAAAATATCCTCAATGCAAATATTGCGTGAGTAATGAGCCTAAAATGTGTTATTACTTCAGTCCGGCCCTACAGTCAGCTTGTGAATTTACTGCTTGTTTATGAGATAAATGGCACTCTTACACTCGTGTTCTACAAAATTATGATTTTGCTTACTAGTAATATCACAGGACTATGTTTCCCCACTATAAGGATAGTTTTCGTCTGGTCTGCACGTTTTCTGAACCCAGCATTAGCGCTAAGAAAAAAAAGCTGTCGCTACTTACAAAATGGGTCTTCGTAGATTGCGAGAATAAGCGCCGAAATGATAAATCCAAGGAAGGGTCCACAACCTCGGACGACGGTCATGATTGCTGTAAGAATTGCACGTCAATGCTACATAAGTCGTTTAGTGAACAACTGTTGTGCTCGCAATATGTTACAGTCGTAACAACGTAATGACAATCGACATAAACAAACTCTGAATAACATTTGGGACTTTTGGAGCCACTTTTCACTATGAAAAGTAGTTTTTTAGACTGCTTTTAAAACAATCACATGTACGACAATTTTAATGTCTGGTTGAAAGGTTATGTTCAAATTATAGAGCTTTATTTTGTGCTGTCTTAACTTTATAGAGATTGCTGTAATATAGTCAAGGCAGTGCCGTTGAGAGAAGCACATCACTTGGCGTTCATTTTACATACACTCTGAAGGTTGCTTTCTTTCAGACTCGACCAGCTTCGCCTCACCCCCCGCAATGAGTTAGGTAATCGAGGGTCGCCCTTGAACCATTGACAGATGCACTCACTCAATCACTCACTCACTCACTCACTCACCAACTCACTCACTCAAAAGTGGCACTGCCTTCACACTCTCACCCATATAGACGGCCGAATTCTTCCTTTTAATGAGCTCGTCCAGATAAGCCGTGCCGGCTGAATAGTAGACTGCAGTGCCGATGCCCGTGAGAAAGTTGCAGCTGACCAGAAGCAGCAGGGCGGGAAGAGTCTCTGACTTGCGGGACTGCCGGCAGTTGAGCTCTTGGAAGCGCCTCTCCTCTTCCTGGTCGTGGCAGAAGTGGTTCAGGTCGGACTCTACCTCGGGGTCGGTCATGCTGAACGCCTCGTCTGCCTTTCCGAACAGCCAGTAGGGGAGCGAGGCGAGTAGACACGACGTGCCCATGAGGACGGCAGCGACTCCCACCCATCTGTGGAGCAGTGTTTTCGTTTGCACATGCATGAGTTCTGCTGAATTCCGTAATGTGAAATAACGGTTAAGAGAGGACAACGGACAAGCGCCCGTTGGTAGCACGAAGGCACAGGAAAATCCGTGCGAATTTCTCGGAAGGAAATCTTCTTAGTTGCGAACAATTTGTTTTGGTCCGGGTATCTATTGATTGATTGATTTGTGGGGTTTAACGTCCCAAAACCACTATATGATTATGAGAGACGCCGTAGTGGAGGGCTCCGGAAATTTTGACCACCTGGGGTTCTTTAATTGGTCCGGGTATCTAACCCGGGACCAAAAAGACCAAAAAGATGAATGCGCTCGTGTAGTCGTCTTCTCGTATTGTGCCTCGTCTTTTTGCTCTCAAATCTCTTACAGGACCAACGTCTTTCTACGGCGGTCATTCTCTCAAATGGGCATCAAGAAGGTATAGCTAATGGCAGTGCGAGAGCCAATTTTCCGGCAGCCGAACTTTCTGCTGCCTGATAAACACGTGCGGATTTCCCCGTGGCTTCGTGCTGCGAACAAGTGTTTCTCAGTAGCCAGTTTTCAGCCTCAATTGCAAATGAGAGTTACAATGATGACACCCACCACGATTTTGTTATCACACACGAGAGCAAGTGGTAACAAAAACCCCAAACAAACATCCGCGCTTTAGATTGAACCACACTATAGACTGCGCGCTGTATTATTAAACCCTGTTCCCCTAACCCCCCAATACACACACACACTGCGGGAAATGCGCAAGGTTCTACAAGGTATGAGCATGTGCATGCGGATTACCTCATACGCATAACTAATCCCACCACACTGCTTTGAGGTCCTGTCCGCACGAGACTATAGACCAAAAAGTCTAACTGCTGTATTGAGAGAGAAGCGCTGAAGCCACTTGGCTACTGTAAGTGGACCACCTACTGCATAGTGGAATAGCTATCAACATTTGCTTATATCGCGTGCTGTTCTGCATCAAATTTATTCTCTCCCACTCTACTTCGTGAAAGCGATCTAAGTGTGAGCTTAGTATTGTAAGCGTGGAACATACTGTCATGTCTCGGGCGGGGTGCAGGTTACAGGCTGCAGGTTTCCGACTTCGCGGTCATCTTTTGGCTTCCGGTAAAGAGCAGCAGGAAAGTGACGTGTTCCCTTGTGCATTTCCCTAAGATGACTGGAAGGTGAAAGCCATCTCTGTTTCCTTATCAGCCGATTGTAGAAATCTCACACTTTCTTCCTGAAAGCTTTCTGCACTCGTCGTATCATGCCTGCGGGATCGGCTCATCTGTGACTAAGCTACGATGTTGTGGGAGGACGTAATCATGGGACGTGATGTTATATGAAATCATGATGACATTACACATTTGGGCAATGTCTCACATTATTATGACGTCATACAGTGACGTCATCGCAAGACGATGATTTTTGCATCACTGCTATTGACGCCGACGCCACTGACGGTCACTTTCCACAACTGGTGAGGTATTTAAGGCTTTCGCTTAAATAAGGCAAACTGTACCACTGACCTTGGTCTGTGTCTCTTCGGACTGTACGTGCCGATGAAGACACCCAGAAGGATGGGGCCGAAGTTGTCCGCGAAGAAGACAAAGCCCGCCGTGCGACTTCCGTAGGCAAACCGCCGCTCGAGCGTCGTGTTGATGCCGATGAGGTAGGAGTAGTAGCAGCCTTGCAGAATGCCAAGCGCCGAGAAAGAGATCATGTAGCACACCGGCTTCGTGAAGAAGTCCAGGAACACTTGCCACGCTCCTTTCTTCCCGGTGGGCTTTGAGTTGCCTCCCTGCGCCGTCGCTGGCGGCATGGCTTGGCTGGTTTTGTAGGTATATAATAGACAAGGCCAGGAATCGCGATTTATTAGTGTTGTACGTCGGGGTTCCACAAAATTACAGACTTGTTCACGTTTCTCCTGTTGCACAGGGCCAATAACAGCTGCTGCGAAAGAAAGTAATGACGAGAATCAGAAGTGTGGCTACTAATTAAAAGGCGGAAAGAAAGCAACGAGAGCTAGAAAAATAATGTCTGTAACATTATTTCTCACATAGTTGTTTGCAGTAAAGATACGCAAGCCACCGACACTAGTTGTGACAAGACCGTAAGGTGGGCTAGTCGGTGAACATTCATGTTTAAAGCAAAAGATTTCTAAACGCACGAAAAACGCAGACGGCAGAACTATAAGAATTTTACCGGATGATACAAAAAAGCTAGACACGTCCTGTGAATTTTTTAGTTCTTCTGTCTCCATTCCTCGTGAGCCAAATCTTTTGCTTTAAATACGAATATTGCAAATCTAGATTTTGTTAGTGTTTGTTGTACCTGACACAGTGTCTTAATAGTTGTGGTACTTCTCTGCTGACCCGAAGGCTTCAAGATTGAATTACGGCCTCCGTTTTTGCATTTCTGTGAAGGCGAAAAGCTAGAAGCCCGTGCCCTATAGGATCTAGAGTCACGTTAAAAAGCTCTAGGCAGTCTAAATTTGCAGTTCCTTGCACTACAGCGTCTCTAATCTTATCGTGGTTTGGGGGATGTAAAACACCAACAAGAATTACTATGAATGCTTGTTGCAATCTCACGCGACACTACGTCCGAAATCCTTACTCGCAATGTAATGAACCCATCGATTACTGCATTCATACCAAGCATACACGCTCGGAAAACTACAGCGCGTTTTTCGATGAATACATTTAGCAAGCTCCATAATCGTCAAACGCAGATAATGAAACAGTTTATCTTTCGATCAGTTGCCCCAAAAGAAATTTTTTATTGTCTATTGTTAGTTCGTTCTCTGAGAAATGAATATAGCGAGTAAATTGTTGTTAATGCAGAATGCAAACAATTTACATTTCAAGCTATCATAGCTTGAAATGTCAAAGAACGACCTGTACTCTTGTCCAGTAAAAACCTGAGCAGGTATCATTGGTCCTCAGGTATGATTTCTGAAACCCCTCGCGGCCTTACATTTACTCTGACTCGAGATCAGCCGTCCGGACCTTTCTATCTGGTCTAATCTCGAAAGGAGCGGCGGATATAAACAAGGAAAGTCCGGCTGATGCATCTCACACTATCACATGGTTCCCAGCGCACATAGGAATCAATGTATCAACCCGAATGAACTAGTTCATGACCAAACGCAGTGTCTGCCATTCCGCGATGGTTCCGATACGATAGACAATCCAGATTGGGAGTATAACTCCAACCCATTGCTCTACTTTTACGAAATAGGGAAAAACTAACAGCTTGGGCGCAGCGAATTCCCTCTCCCGCACCCAAAGCTGACTGTACCTTGATCTTCCACCCTGAGAGTGTTACTAAGGGATCGTTCCCGTCGAGAAGGAGGTTTAGTCGCTTTGCTACGGACGTCGATCCACACTGCCCTGAGTACCATGAAGAGTATTGCTCGTCAGCTCACGTATTCTGGCAATGTTCGGCGTTACAATATGCCTCTTTTAATGAACAAGAGAACTAGGAGGAAGCCCTCAAAAACGTCGATCTTCGTGGACAACTAGGAGCTGTCTAAAGGGCTCGCGAATGGTTGTAGGACCATAGTCCTCCGGTCCCAAAGTGGGCGTGACCCGCAAGTAAGATTCTGTAGTTCTCTAGAACCCGAATAAAGTTTGTTGACTGACAGAATGACTTGAAATATGACAGAACAGAATGTTTTCTTGTGCTAAATGAAGAAGAGTACATGTGCATGATATACAGAAAGAGGTCCCATAGTCAGGAGACTGCAAGGGGACCTCTTGTACAATTAAGTTGGTGGGCCAGGTAAGATTTCCCGCACTATTCAGACATAAATGTATGCGCTAATCGATGCATTGCTTAGTAAAGTCCTCAATGAATCTGAAAAACTTTAATTGAAGATGTACGCGTTTCGCTCGTGCTCATTGAAATGGCTACATTTTCAGAAAAAAATTCAGCACAGTGCATCCAACACTAATACGTTTTACATGTCTGTGCAACACACGGCGCAAAAAAACACACCCTTGAGAAGCATTTCAGGTGCCTGAGGTCGAGAAGAGGCCGAAGAATGCTAGGATAAAGAGAGTAGCAAGATTCGCTTCCCAATAGCCCTACATGTTGGTTGTATGTGTTCTGAGAACCTTCTTGCAGTGGCATCGTGAATGTAAACTGTCCTTGGTGAAACAAGAAGCGCCCGAGGTTAGCCGTAAGATGCACTTAGGGAGATATTGTGCCACTTTGCTAATGTCAAGCTTCGACAGTACCTTGCAAGTGTGGGTTTTACGGGAGACACGCACACACTCACGCACAAACCACAAAACAGAGCAGCTGCATAGCACGGCACACTCAACCCAAAGTAGGGCCGGCACCGTCGACAATTGTATCAATGACCCAAGTGAGCATGTCGCGGTTAATGTTCCTAAAGTGCACTGTAAGATTGCAAGTACGACAGCAAGGTGGAGGCGGGTAGTGGTTGAAGTGGAGGAGGTGTGAAAGATAATGTCTTTTTTTTTTTGTCGAAGAAGATCTCAAAGCGACACGGCCGCGCTTGCACTGAGCGACTGTGAACTGAAACACATTTTGTAAATCATATCTAACGCACTCGTCACAAAACGAAAATATTAAATGTTCTTTTACACGTAAAGAAGTGACAGTCATCAGAAACGAAAAGTGAATTTTCCCTATATAGAGCCAATCACGATGCGTTGTAGGCGGATTTTGTTTATTTTGACGACTTGGCTTCGAAGTATGAGAGATCGGAGTCCCAGATTGACATCTTTGGAACATAACAGAGAACAGCGCGAACACACGGGAAGAGACTGACAGCACTGTTATGAAGCCAAGCAAACAAGCTCAAGTATATACCCTGTTAATATTCTTGCAAATTTTTCAAAGACAATCTTCAGAAAGGGACAACAGCATCAGCACATAATGAAAGCTCTTGCTACCCCCCCCCCCCTATTTCTTTATATAAATTATAAAAGCGCTGCTGGAACTTGTTTGTGCACGATGATGTGTGAAATGCGAAAACAGGTACGAAAGAGCATAAAAGTAATTAATTCTGGCTGCGTTTTTGCTCAAATATAAGGGGGGAATGGGGGAGGAAGTACTACAGAAACATTGTACTGCGCACAATGCGCCTCTCCCTTAGTTAGAAGATTAAGCGTTGATACAGATGCAAAATAGTAGGTCAAATGTGCAAATTAATTTGGAGTTGCATGAGCACTGAACATGAGCGGGTCATCGATTTAATTGACGTCGAACAGAAAAGGCACCCAGTTTCACAAATCGTGAACGTGGTAGGTGTCGGGCACTGTCTAAACTTGAAGCCAGCTTGTGATGCCTCGCCGACACCCACATTTTGACGAACAGACATAACCTTCAGACCATTTTTGTGGCACCCATCAAATGGTCCCCCCTTGGCTATCGCTTTATCTCTCTTTTCTCTGAAAGCAATTTGGAGTATCACGATGTTCACTTACATTACGAAGTCTCCCGTCAAGTCCATCCGAAGTGCAGTCAGGGTGTCTCAACAGAGGAGGGGCGATTTCCACGTTGATTATCTGCGAGACGCGAGATACGCTATTGTGTCGTCTGCGGGGCAGGGCGCATCGAAAAAGAAAACACGCATGGCGTCCCGGTCGAAGCACTCGAGTCCGCACCGATTCCTTTATCGGTTCACCCCGCGAGATAAGAGTACTTGCTCCTGATCTGCTTCGACGAGCCGGCTGGTTTCTCGTGATGAATGTCTGTCTCCGCAAGCACGACGCTCAGATATGCGCGGCGAATCGCAAAGGAACTATAGAGTCGGTTACAGCGCAGCAATAATCGTAAGCTCCGTTCACAGGCGTAGCTGTACCCGAAGCCCTTAATTCTACCGTCAGCTGTACTACCTAGAGAGAAACTTCACTCAGATCCAATCTTATTTCGTCAAACTTGTAAGGCGGGGGCACCATTCGAGTAAGTCAAGTAGGTGATCTGCTCATGCAGACACATCTTCGCGTCACTGACTTGAAGTCGAAAACTTTCTGACGAACTTCAGCAAATATTGCAGTGTCACTTCTCTGGTAGGGACGACGAACCTTTATTAAGTGACGTGCGCAGTATTTACGCTTGCAGCGATGAAGTGTGCTTTTGACGAAAACTGAAACTACGAATATTTCGCGCAGATGACTGGCAGGTGCGCCGAAGTTCTTGGGGTGGAGCTTGTACTTGCTCTGTAGTTAAGTGAAGTTTATTTCCTTTCATACCAAGGAGAAAGCCGGGGCTAAAGGCTGGGGTGCCTGACAAAGGTCTAGGCTTCATTGTATAGTCTGGTGACAGTTAACGAAACAATATAACTAAGCACATGACATAATAAATAGATAAATCAGCTACACTTGCAAGTACAACAAAATAAACTGTTCTTAAGCATATAGCAGTGAAAATGTTATACCTAACAGAGACCAGAGTTGAGTAAATATTGCTTTGTTTCCTTTTTTAAATATCTTCATTGAAACATCAAAAATAACATTTGTAGACATTTCATTTATAGTCACATTCTCCTGATAAGTTATTTTTTGTTGGCCATAGTTAGTACGCGTCTTAGGGACTCGCAGGCTTTGTTTTCGAAAGTGGTATGCACCATTAGTCAGAGTATTGTTTTGAGTATGTAAAAGATTGACTTTAATATGCTTCAACATACGAAAAAAGCAGACTTATTTCACTTTAAGCAAAGCATAGTGACGAAACAATGGCGAAGTGGGAAGATCCTGTGGACTGCCGCGGGAACCATGAATGCACCGCAAAGCTCTCTTTTGAAGTACTTGTAGTTTCTGATAATTAGTAGTCATA